GCGTTGCAACAGGAATAGGACAATCTGGACCAAAATGACCTTAGACGTCTCATTAGGAGTATGCCACGTCGGATCAATGCTTGTTTGGCAAACAGAGGAGGATTTACCCGTTACTGACTTGGTTGTGATGCTGTGGTAACTTTGCTGTTTGACCCCGGGTATCATTTTACCCTTATAATGGTCAGTCTGTGCCTAACGATCATTTGGAATAAATCGATGAATGTGAACTTCATTTCATTTTGTCATTTGTTTCTTCGTCAGTTTCATTAGGTGACTTTAATAACACTTAAAAATCAAATATCCCCTACTTTTTTCGAATAGTATATTATGCGCTCGTTCGCAATATCGACAACCCCCGCATGGCAAATCAGTCAATTTCACCTCCATTGTAAAATCCGGACACGGTTTATCAGGCAACTTCATACGCGATAATGCATCGGCATTTTGGTGTCTTTTACCCGGACGATGTATAACTTTCATATCATATTGACTTAATTCTTCTAACCACCTGGCCAGTTGGCCAGTCGGGTGTTTGAACCGTAAAAGCCATGTCAAGCTACTATGATCGGTTCGTACTATAAATGGTCTACCAAGCAGATAATGTCTAAACTGTCTTGTAAAACGTACAATCGCAAAATGTTCTTGTCGCGTAACGCAATAACGACGCTGTTCTGGCGTTAGCGAAAAACTACTATAAGCAATCACCCTCTCCTGGTTGTCCTGAATCTGTGACAATTCCGCAGCCACAGCGTTCATACTCGCGTCACAATCGAGAATAAACTGATCTGAATTATTTGGTAACGCCAGTACCGGTGTTGTTAGAAGCAAACGTTTGAGTCGTTCGAAAGCTAACTGTTGAGTTTCGTTCCAAATAAATTCTTGTTTACCCGTAATCGCATACAACGGGAAAGCTATTTCAGCAAAGTCCTTAATAAAACTTCTATGATAGTTCGCGAACCCAAGGAAAGATTCTACCTCCTTGGTACAAGTGGGTACCGTCCATTTATCAACGGTTTCCGTTAAATTATTTCCCGCTTTGATCCCGTTTTGGCTAACTAATCGACCCAAAAACTCAACTTCCGGTTGAAACAATTCACATTTCTTTGGTTTTAATTTAATTTTATATTCTCTAAACCGGTCTAAAACTAACCGCAAATTACTCAAATGATCATCTACATCTTTTCTTAAGACAAGCGTGTCGTCTAAAAACGCTAAAGCAATATTCCATGCTAATCCATGAAGTATCAGATTCATTGCCCTTGAATAGGTATTTGGTGCCCCACATAAACCGAATCCCATTTTTGTAAATTCGAACAAACCGTACTTAGTAATGAAAGCGGTTTTTTTCCTATCATCTTTATTAAGGCGAATTTGCCAATAAGCTGAATTAGCATCTAATTTAGAAAACCACCTGTTTCTCGCCAATGCGTCTAAACATTCGTCAATCAATGGCATAGGGAATACATCCTTAGATGTCACCGCATTCAACTTCCTATAGTCTATGCACCAACGTACGGTTCCGTATCAAAACTGGAGGAGACGCCCACTCGGACATAGAGGGTTGAATAACTTTTGCTTCTAACATTTTCTTTAAATGTACCTCTTCCTTCCCCGCGAAACAAACGGGTGTACGTCGCATACGTTGTTTAATAGGTTTGGCATTACCCGTCTCAATACAATGTTCGAAAGCAGTAAAATTACCCAAGTTTAGCAAAAACGTCTTGATAATCCATTAATAGATCTTTAACTTTATTCTGCTCACTTGGATTTAAGAACTGTTTGGAACGTTCAAATAAATTACTTAAATGTTCGGGAATAGTTCCGTCATCCTCACTTTTTGTCCCATCCGAATTTCGGATTTAAAATGTGAAGCTCGTCAAACTCCATAGCCTTAGCTATAGATTGATTAGTTTCAAGAATAACACTATCCTGTGTTGGGTTTATCAAACATATACGCGGGAATTCAGTTTCAATGTGGGAGTAAACTGATCGTGCTATTAACAGATTAGTGTGATTTTAAGGTTCGATTAAAAACCGGGATAAAGTATTATCCATATTACACCGTACTCGTGCTACAGATAACGGTGGAACAGCTATTCGCTTGGCGACAAATAAGTTAGCGTGATCTACTTGATCATCTACATTCCCACAAAACAAATCAAACCTATCGTCTCCGATATACATTTTATCAGTTTTTAGATCGATATGTACCTCATTCGCTCTCATAAAATCTAAACCTAATAACATATCATCTTCTATCGGAGCTACATATAATTGGTCTAATTGAACTTGGAATGACCCAAAATCTAGACTAGCGGGTCCAACAATAAATCCGGGAAAAACTAATTCCCGACCCGCGCCATTAAGTTTTACATTACGGAGCTTGGGAGGTTTTCTCTATAGTTTATCATACTGGTGATCGGAAAGTATCGTGACCCGTGACCCTGTGTCAATTACAGAAGAGGTTGATTGTCCTTGAACTTTTAGCTTGATTTTATACATCGCATCTGCGTGTACCCGTCGAATAAACGGGATGTTCAAATCCGTACCCCTTTCTTCAACTCCCTGCACTAAATCTACATCACCCCCTTCCCATTAGACGACGTATTTCTCGAGTTTTTGGAACCGTGGATAACGGTATTTAGTACCGGGACACCGTCGGGAACGGTATCAGTCACTCCATCGGAAACAGTCAATTCGTCGTTTGACTCAGTTTTAATTGGCGAAACCATTGGTTGCTCTTGGATCGACCGTTCGCCTACTCGCTCGATCCTGTGAAGTTTAACGACTCGTTATCACTACTCACGAAACCTACTTTTTTACCCGACATAGGCGTACTATGTTTTGGATCAAGAAGGGGACAATCCCGTTTATAATGACCACGTTTACCACAATGAAAACAAATAGGTGGCTCTCGTTCTCGTGATGGGGACCTAGACGGCGATCGTGACCGGTTTAAAGCTAACGTGATCTTACGGAAAGACTCAGATAATTCATCAATTTTAGTGACCATAGTATCTACTTTAAATTCTACTTTAATAAGACGCTTTTCTGTACTCTCAACCCGTGCGAATATATCGGGTGAAGTTGGAGAAGTGCATTCTTGTGGTCTAGGAGTGGTAACTGCCCGTACCCTTGTCGACTCATATTCCCTGTTAGGACTATTATATCGCGTTTCCCTTCGTCCTGAACGTCCATAAATAGCGGTGCTGTTATGCCTAAACCATTTTATAGCGTCAATAGCCGTATCCAACGTTTTTGGGCGCGTGTTACATGCATATTGCCCGGCTTCTTTATCTTGACAACCCTGACAAAATTTCATTATGACCTGGCGGGTTATATGATCATCAGAACAATCGCTAAAAGCCCGCGAAGCTATGAGTAACACCCTATCAGCCCAATCAAAGATACTTTCTTCATACCCCTGGCGCAAATTCTGAAATTGCATCATAGCGGTTTCAGGCAACTCCTGGTTTCCAAACCGTTTTTCCATTTTTGATTTTAATTCATAAAAAGTTAAATCTGTATCTCTCTCTGTCATATTAGTAAAGAACTCGCTTGCTTTACCCTCCAAGCAAAAACATAATTGATCCCTAGTTTCTAGATCCGACCAACCTTGTAAAGTTGCAAATCGTGTAAACTTATTAGAGAAAGCCTGCCAACTTGAATTACCATCAAAGGATAATGACTTGGGTGTAAGGGACCCACGACGTGTCGGTGGTCTACGGTCTTCCCGGACACTGTCACCCGCATACGACCGGGTCATCTGAGATACCCCCGAGACAATAGACGCCGATGTATCATTCCGTACATCATAGCGTTTGCTATAACTTTCAGATCTATTCCTACTACTCCCCCTTCCTCACTTGAACAAGTCAGTCTTACATAAACCGAAGTAGGGAGATCCATAACCCCTGGAACTTGCAATAACTCCTTAGGTTTTAGTCTGCCGCCAAAACTCGCGACTGCTGCATATATGCACTCTGCTGTGTCAGAATTAACACCTATATCTAATAACTCTTCAATAGAGCAGTTATTTATGTCTAATTTGTGTGCCATTTCTAAACAGACAACTCGTCAAACAAATTCAATTATTTTAAATCAAATTGAACTAAAGTCAAAAGATGAAATACCCCGTACTAATTATCGGGTATATAATAATGTTAAATAGTAAGCTTGTATTCTATATAATACCTCAACCGAATACCTCAGTCTAAATATACACCTGTAAAAGCACGTGTGGGAGCGTGCTAAAATGCACGTGCGTTAACCTATAAAATGTGTTAACGATTTTGTATGTGCTCCGCGAAACACGCACACGATACAAATCCTCACACTTAGAATAAACAAACTAACTACGATATTTATAACTACCTTCACTTATTTAATTAAACTAAAAGAAAATATTTATTTTTTCATCCGCACTACCATTAAAGTGGCACGAGGCAATATAACTAGATAATTCGGGAATGACTGAGTCCAACTCAGACGGCGATAAACAATGACAAATTACTTTGATACTTTGTAAAACATACTAGACCGTGTGTAGCTGGCGACGGTGTATTTATAGACCCTGGTCTTGGTCAACCAGTCCGTAGTAAAGCGAAAGCGGAAACAATGTATATTTAGTCCCGGACATCCAGCCGGTCCCCGGAATCACCACAACAGCATCGTATAATGCAAATATGTAAAGATGAAATATAAAGTTCCAAGCTTGTATATGGGTACAAATCCACTTCCAGAAAAAAAATCCAAATACAATGCATCTATATGAAAAAGAAATTAAATATGCGCACATAAAATAAACACGTGTAAGACAATATTATGTAGACATATAAATCCATTATTATATCTCTCCTCAAATAAAGCAACCCCGGTGCTAGCTTCGTGGATTATAACAGGACAATGTTCATCTAGCTGTCCCAACCAACCCCGCCTTGTATAACCATGAATGTGCTGCTTAACATTGTCTTTGACGTCAATAGCGAAAACAGTGGTCTTACTTCCAAATCTGTTATTAGAGTTAACCCCCCTTGTATTAAAATGGTTGGAAATGCAAACATCGATCTGCTTATTAGCAACAAATCGCCTGTTTAAACTTTCTTTTACCGACAAGCAAAATCATTTTCAAAGGTGAGTATAACTAGAGATTTTAGGATGCCATGGGAAAATCATTTTCTTCATTTAAATCCGGCAGAACCCAGGCAAGCTGGCAACCTGAAGAGGCGAATGTGAAGAACATGACAAGCCACAAGTGACATTCATATGACAGTATTATATGAGTTGCGACCCACTTGTGTCAATTTCTAGGTCCCAAATGTTAGCGATTTAGCTCCTTTAATCTTAGATTTAGAGTGCTCACCTTCCAATGACTCTGGCTAACTGACGCTCTTGGTGTCATATATCGATTGACTACAGGTTCAATCGAAAGTATTGAATAATGATTATCCTTGACATTAGAAATTATTTTTTTTATTTAATTTTTATCGTGACTACCATTAATTAGCCAATTATGACAATTGTATAAGGCTCTGGGAGCACCCATCTTTTAGTTTAGTACCAGTACATATCTCTAAGACAAGAATGGTTCTGAATTAGGTTTCTGTTCTAAATTTCTGTAATGTTTGGTAAAATAGTCGTGATAATCCAGGCCTGTCAATCAGCAGGAGAAAGGTCAGTAGACTGGTTTAGTGCGACTAATTTCAAACCAAGGGCTCATACATTTCCCCTTAAAATTGGCTGTGTGTGGTTTACGATTGCAGTCTATTTTTATTGCGCTTCTAACGATGATATTAATTGATGATAAATGTGGGAAACTAGGGTAACGACTAGTGTGGCATAGTTAAATTATCAATATATTCCATACCGATAAATGTATATCCCTGAACAGCCTGAAACCTTCCATAACTACTGTTCCATAGATTGCCGGAGCTATGTGAATAGTGCTCCGTATTATACTAATTCCTTAAGGCTGCTATTACAGGTTTTGATTCGGCTCATTCAAATATGGGGTGGGGTAGGGGTGGGGGCAGTTAACTGGAAATAACTGTTCAGGAGAATCTAGAATAGTCTTCCATGCCTAGGGATATGTCCATCAATGTTCAGAACTTTTGATTCAAACCTTTTACAACACAAATGCCCCATTTTCTAATAAAATCATGGAATTTACTCCTCTCTGCAGCAAGTATACGGCAGAAAAAAAATGGAACATACACGATACCATGTATATGCATATAGCGTGCCCCTATAGTCCGATGTAAACTGCTAAGCAAATTCCTGTTGTTCGAATACAAGTATTCGCGTATACCTCTAAACGTATACCGTATACCCATATGTAATAGCAGCCTAAGGCGTGCCAGAGCTGTCCCTCTGACTTGGGTGGTTTGGTGGGATCTAAGGTGCACTAGTTATGGGCTGTTTTGGGTGAGTGGTCCAAATGGTAAATGGTTATTAATGAATAGCAGCAAACTTCTTGCACAAATTGTTGCCCTTGATGTACCTTGATGTATCTTTAGGTAACCTGATTAATATAGAGCGTTTGACATGTCACTAACAATATCATATACCTAAATATGAAACTTTTGGTAATGAGCTCTAGACGTTATTAACAAATTTATTTAACTCATTTAAGGATTTTTCATTCTTCAATTATCGTACATGTATGTACATGCATACAGATATGAATTTCAGGATATTTAAATAACTATAAAACTTTATTTGTATCTATACATGTGAAAGGTTGGGTGGTCGATTAGGCTAACACATGGTATCAACTTGACAAAGTAGGGTTGCCTTGTTTGTATGACCTTAATTTTAATATACTACTTAATGGAAATTATTTTTGTTAACAGATGTTACAATGTATATAATAGAAAATATGTTTATGTAACTGCTTGAATCCATACCATGAATACTGTATCAGATGTTAGTGAATACCCAAGGGCAGTTGACCGAGAAAGTTCATCAGAATTATTCCGGCAAGGTTCCTCCTTGTAAGTGGTGCAGGAATGGGGGCCTGGCAAGGGATAACGTAATGTATAGTTGTTTGGATGGGATGAAAAACCGATGTCCTGTGCACACATTGGTGTGCATGTAAAAGAACCCTTGACAGTTGGAATTGGAAATAAGTGTTGACTGTAGCTAGCGCCGCTGTCCAGGAAAATTTCCCTCAAAGCCGAGTTGTAGCAGAATTATGGAACGTTAAATACCATTTGATTTTATTAACATTATTCTACATGTATTTCAGTTGAAGTTGTTAACGCAGTGATAGAATCAACAGTTTGCCATGACAGTTTAGGAATCAGGTCATCATGTAAAACCCGCAATCATTTTAACTGTCCATCATTACCATACAATAAAGGTAAGCTGAGGAAGGCATCATGGTTGTCCATGCTTCCTTGAATTTGCACAGTCTTTTATTTTAAAATTTTGCCAAGTGATCAACTTTTGATGTTGTTTGCTTATCTCATATTTTCAAGACATATTTTACCACAGAATTATTAATGATTTTTAGAGTTATCCCAGTATAGTTTTTCACACAATCTGTTTGTCAAAAACCAGACTTTTTTCCCCAACAGTTTCAAGATCTTTATCTGAAATTGGTTCCAGATCAAAATCTATACTTGTAGGGTTGTCGGTATTTACCTGGACTCAGTTTTGTGCACTTTTTATGATCCCAAATTGAAATGTCATCTACAACTGTTTCTAGTCCGGGGATCTCAGTTCAGTAATATTAGTCACTCAATTTACATAACTTTAGAATTTCAAAGAATTTAGCCTTAAAACCCAATAAATACCGTTGAATTTATTGTATTTGTTTATAAAATCACTTAAAGATATAATTTATAAATTGTGATGATGCAAATTATTAGGAAAAACTATCAGGCTAATTTAAGGCAAACAGAATACATAAAATATTTTGATGTGACTGTACATTGGCTAATTTAAGGCAAACAAAGTACATAAAATATCTTGAGGTGATTGTACATTGGCTGATAGACTTCTGTTTCCGTGTCATTTTGACGTTGAGTTGATGTAATACAAGTCAGCTATACTGTAAATATTATTCTGTATTTCAGATGGAGGGCAGATTGAGGAAAATAGTTGGTGTGGTTCTACTCTACTGGGTAACGTCTATATCCATCGTATTTTTGAACAAGCACCTGCTCAGTGGTCGATTTGGAAAACATGATTTATCCATCTTTGTTGCCTGGTTTCAGTGTCTCGTATCAGTGGTTGTTTTATTAATAGCTAAATCTGCGACACGTTACGTCAGTATTCCGTCATTAGACCTGGGTATTTTGTTGAACAGCAACGTATTATTATTATCAATCAATTTTGTGGCATCATTGACGTTAAACAATCTGATGTTAAAACATGTTGCCGTCGCATTTTATCAAATAGCTCGTTCGTTTACACTCATATTCACGATCATACTTTCTGTGTTTATGTTGAAAAAGAGCATAAAATGTCTGACATTGTTCTCGTGTTTTCTAGTAATTTGTGGATTTTTTGTGAGTGTGGAAGAAGAAGAACAATCCGGGACGTTATCCATCTGGGGAATTATTTACGGAATTTTGTCCAGTTTATCCGCAGCATTCTGTGCCATCTATTTTAGGAAAGTGGATGAAGTAATGAACGGAAGTCCGATTAAGATAGCGTATTATAATAACGTTAACAGTTTCTTTATATTTTTACCATTAGTAATTAGTACAAATCAACTAACCTACGTGTTTAGTTCAGACATTATTTATGATTATTTTTTCTGGTTGTATCTATTTTTGTCTGGATTAATGAGTTTAACGATTGGATGGGCGAGTGCTTTACAGATTCAATACACATCTCCTGTCACTCATCACATCAGTATCAACGCCAAGTCTGTCGCTCAAACCCTTCTAGCCATAATGTATTACAGAGAGGTGAAGACATTCTGGTGGTGGGTAGGAAATATGTTAGTTATGTTAGGAATAATGTCATACGCATTCTTTAAAATGAAAGAAGAGGACAAATCCATTCCAAAGAGTTTCACTAAAAAGCCTCTGGAAAAAGCAGCCATCTTTTGATCAAATAGCCATGATGAAGTTGTACATATGAAGAGTTTATTTGTAATATGAATCTCTTAAATTATTGTATTGGCCTTAGATGATTCTCATTGACGTGAATTCTGTGAACCAAATAAATTAGCCTTTAACTAGTATACTCTACTCTAACATCTCCCTGTATCACTAATACACTATACTCTAACGTTTAATACACTCTACTCTAACATCTCCCTGTATCACTAATACACTATACTCTAACGTTTAATACACTCTACACTAACATCTTCCTGTATCACTAATACACTATACTCTAACGTTTAATACACACGACTCTAACATCTCCTTGTCTCACTAATACACTATACTCTAACATTTAATACACACTACTCTAACATCTCCCTGTATCACTAATACACTATACTCTAACGTTTAATACACTCTACTCTAACATCTCCCTGTATCACTAATACACTATACTCTAACGTTTAATACACACTACTCTAACATCTCCTTGTCTCACTAATACACTATACTCTAACGTTTAATACACTATAGTACATTATACTCTAACCTCTCCCTTATACACTATACTCTAACCCCTTAATGCCTAATATACCAGTCTGAGATTCTTAGCCCATGGCTTCACTATAGCAATGATGTTCACTTTTTAAAATTGTCGTCGCCCTTGTCCGGCCGTCCGTTCACATTTTGTTTGTGGATGCTCTACAGATCACAATTTTTATCCGATTTTGACGAAACTTGAAATGTGTGTTTGTATCCCAAAGATCTCGTTTCCTTGCGATATTGACACATATTGGGCCATAACATCCTGGGTTATTTCCCCTGATTGTATGAAAAATCCTGTTTTTTAACGTGTTCTCTGTTCATCTCTTGCAATATGTGGGCGTATGTTTCGTTGCCTGGCAACAGCTTTTTTTTGGTTGGCTCTCCCTTCTTTTTAAAAATTACGAAATCTTCACTGGGCTACTGTAGAGTACATGAAAAATTGATCCAGTAATTAATTAAGTTTAAATTTAGACTAATAAAGTGGTAAAAACTGTTTTGACACCAGGTGTTTGTACTACATTGGTTTTATTAACTCATTCAAACGGCTACAAAGGAAAACATAAAATCGATTGATTCTTTTCTACTGGTGGATTAGTTCTATTGACACAGCTGGTCCATTACTTTCTATTGTTACGTATCTATGAATAAATGATTGAAACATATTTGGAATTTAACTGGGTTAAAATTAACGGGGTCAATAATAATTGGCTCAGTTAAATATACCTAACTGTTAAAATTATGAAATGAAATCTGTGGGTTGATCTGATAATGTTTTTATTGGTGATCAGATTACAAGATTACATTTTTATAGGCTCATATTACAGTGTGATATATAATAATAAATAGAATACAATATCTACAATACATCCTTTTATCAGAATTAAAACTTGTTATTCATTAAAATATATGTGGAACAGTTTCTTTTAAAGATGAGGGGGGTGGATGGCTGAATGGTAGCTCGTGTCATTGAGTCGACTGGCGTGGTTTCGAATCCCCGGTTGTACGTGGCAAGGAGTAGGGTCGCCTGTCCAACTTCGTGGGTTTTCTCCAGGTCCTCCGGTTTCCTCCCACTGCTAAAGACCCATACGCGCAAGCGAATTATGTAAATGAAATTAAAACCATATGTTAGTCCCGAAATGACCTAGTTTGTGTCGAGTGGACATCAAACCCCATTTCTCTCTCTCTCTCTTTTTAAAGATGAATAAGGCCAAAAACATTAAGATTTTGTTAAGATTATTCTTATTATTATTATTTTTTTTTTCCACTTGAGCATATCTCAGAAACTACTTGTCGGATCAATTCGATGTCTTCGGTTTTACTGGGATTACTGACTTAGAGACTTACTGACTTAGAGATTAAAGCTATTTCGAACGTTCTGCGACTATGCGAAATGTCCGAAATGCCAAAGTTGTCGTTTTTTGAAATATTGCAGTAATATTAACAATAATCGTCGGATTTTAACATTGGATACATTTTGACATAGTCTGAGACAGGGCACATGGCTACGGTAGTTTAGATTTTTGATTTTCGACGAATCTTCGGAGATATTAGGCGCCAAATTTTGACAAAAAACTTTTTTATTAATGAATAATTTTTTACGGCATTTTACCCAGGGTTGAGGGGTCGTCTGATTTGATAAAAAATGTGAACATTTTTTGTCTCGATAATTTTTTTTGCCGCTATTGGCTAATTCAGTTTATCGGTTCTAGGTTAATTATTTATTGCCCGATTTTTATAAAACAAAGTTCATATGCTCCATGGTGCAAATTCTCAATTTTTTTATTATCGGTAAAGTTTTTTATCGGTAGCGGATGTGACGCAATTTTGCTAAAAACTCCAATTTTGTCGAGTCGGAATGTCTTTTCACTAGCAAATGTTAATTTTTGCAAATCTGATAGATCAAGATAAATGCCCCTACAAAAGGCGCACAAAATGTCGGACTCACTTTTTTTAATTTTGGTTTTGTATTTGCGCCATTTCGATTTAAAGGTGAAAAAAGGTGTAAAAATGAGCTATTTACAACCCATTCAGGCTTTTCATATTTCAAAATATTTCTTCGCAACTTTCATAAACTTGTAGCATTAATCCATACGAAGAGAATCTATCTCAAAATTAGTTTGTAATATGAGTATTTGCCGAGAAATGGTCAATTTTGCATGAGTCACTTTTTACGCTATTTTGCTTGTAAAAGAGCCTATTATTATTGGATTTTCATAAAAATGACACCATTTGATGCGTAATGTCAATTTTGACTAGTTCAAACCAATTTAACATTTTCAATGTCGCCGGAAATGGCGCCATTTGGGCAAAAATGTATTTATAGCCCTCAAAACAGATATTTTATTCAAACGAGTCTGGTTTGTAATGTTTTCAAAATTATGATATTTGATTCCAATCAACTAATAGAATAAACCCATACGATCATATTGATATCACAACATGTTTTCTAACTTGTTCAGTTGTGGAGAAATAGGCGATTTTCAGCAGGTCACTTTTCAAAGTTTTTGGTCCATAAAAGTGGCAATTATTATTCGATTTTCATAAAAATTTCACTGTGTGATACCTAACGCCATTTATGATTTCATACAAGTAATTTAGTTTTTTCATTTTCACCGGAAGTACCGTCAGTTTGTCAAAAACTGTATTTTTAGCCTCTAAAAAAGTAATTGTTTGAAGTAAGCGATATTCATTGTTGGTGTAAAATTATGATATTTGATTCCTATGGACAAATAGTATCAATCAATACGATCATATTGATATCACAAAATAGTTTCTAACACTTTCCCTTGCCGAGAAATAACCAATTTTGTCAGGATCACTTTTTAAGATTTTTTGCATATTAATTTCAGTGTATGGGTTCTGGGTTAATTATTTATTGCCTTATTTGTGTAAAAGAAAAGCCCACCTGGTGCAAATTCTCAACTTACTTCTACATATAAAAGTTTCTGACGGCACCGGAAGTGATGTAATTTTGGCCAAAACTTCAATTTTGATGTGTCGAAAGGTCTTTTAAAAGCAAATATTAATGTTTACAAATCTAATAGATCAAGATGAATGCTCATACTAAAGACGCAAAACAGATATTTTATTCAAACGAGTCTGGTTTGTAATGTTTTCAAAATTATGATATTTGATTCCAATCAACTAATAGAATAAACCCATACGATCATATTGATATCACAACATGTTTTCTAACTTGTTCAGTTGTGGAGAAATAGGCGATTTTCAGCAGGTCACTTTTCAAAGTTTTTGGTCCATAAAAGTGGCAATTATTATTCGATTTTCATAAAAATTTCACTGTGTGATACCTAACGCCATTTATGATTTCATACAAGTAATTTAGTTTTTTCATTATCACCGGAAGTACCGTCAGTTTGTCAAAAACTGTATTTTTAGCCTCTAAAAAAGTAATTGTTTGAAGTAAGCGATATTCATTGTTGGTGTAAAATTATGATATTTGATTCCTATGGACAAATAGTATCAATCAATACGATCATATTGATATCACAAAATAGTTTCTAACACCTTCCCTTGCCGAGAAATAACCAATTTTGTCAGGATCACTTTTTAAGATTTTTTGCATATTAATTTCAGTGTATGGGTTCTGGGTTAATTATTTATTGCCTTATTTGTGTAAAAGAAAAGCCCACCTGGTGCAAATTCTCAACTTACTTCTACATATAAAAGTTTCTGACGGCACCGGAAGTGATGTAATTTTGGCCAAAACTTCAATTTTGATGTGTCGAAAGGTCTTTTAAAAGCAAATATTAATGTTTACAAATCTAATAGATCAAGATGAATGCTCATACTAAAGACGCAAAATATGTCTTGCTTTGTTTTGTTTTTTTTATTTCGGTTTTGCATTTGCATCATTTTGATTTAAAGCTGAAAAAAGGTGTAAAAATGAGCTATTTACAATGAATGCATTCAGATTTTTCATTTCTTACAATATTTCTTGACAACTTTCACGAACCTGTAGCATTAATCCATACGATGACAATTTATGTCAAAATTAGTTTGTAATATTAGCAGTTGCCGAGAAATAGGCAATTTTGCATGGGTCACTTTTCACATTATTTTGCCTGTAAAAGAGTTAATTATAATCCGATTTTCTTTTTTTTTTCACCATATGATGCCTAATGCCATTTTTGACTGGGTGGATCCAATTATACATTTTCAGTGTCACCTGAAATGGCGTCATATGGGCAAAAACTGTATTTATAGCCTTCAAAACAGATATTTTTTTTAGATAAGTCTGATTTGTAATGTTTTTAAATTTATGATCATTGATTGCAATTAACAAATAGAATGAATCAATACGATCATACAGATACCACAAAATGGTTCCTAACTTTTACGGTTGCAGAGAAATAGACGATTTTCTACAAGTCACTTTTCAAGGTTTTTGGTCTATAAAAGTGTCAATTATTATTTGATTTTCATAAAATTTTCACCATTTGATGCCTGATGCCATTTATGATTTCATGGAACTAATTTAACATTTTCATTATCACCGGAAGTAATATCGTTTTGGCAAAAACTTTATTTTTAGCCTTCAAAACAAATATTTTTTTAAGTGAGTTATATTTATTATTCGTTTAACATTATGACATTTGATTCCAATGGAGATATAGATTGGATCAATACGATCATATAGATGTCCAAAAATTGCTTCTACCATCTTTCTTTGTCGAGAAATAACCAATTTTGCCAGGATCCCTTTTTAAGACTTTTTTTCACATTTTAAGTTCCCATTAGATAGTCAGTTAACTTAGTGGTAAGTTAGTAATAAATTTTGTCAGGATCACATTTTTGACATATCTAACGCATGGTAACAAATGTATAAATGGAATTGATATTGCTGGATTTGGTTGATTCTGCGTCCATTCCTTAACACGTGTGCAATACTAACGTTGAAATCTGTTTAGCGGTTTCATTGGTACCGAATGTGACATAAGTTCATGGGTAACGAGGCACCGGAAGTGACATAAGTTCAAGGGTAACATGGCACCAGTGAAACCCGTCATTACTGCGTCGCAGTTCTAGTTTATTATAATGAGTTTATTGAACAATGATTTAAATATGTACCATGATATTGTTTGTTTTGTCAGCTAATTATATTTTCAATAATTTATTGTATATAATGATGTAGATATGATAATAATAATAATAATAATGTTGCACAGTATCCATAACTAATAGTTAGATAAAGCGTGCATACTGATTATCTGTCAGTTCATTTAGGCCATACAAAAAAATATTCCGGTTCTCCAACAATCAAGGAACAAATTTGATGAAATGACTTCAACCAGCCCCAGGGACCCACAGACTCGGTAACTACATGATGTAGATACGATTAAACAAGACCCCAACACGCTCTCAACACGACCAACAAGGCCTTAACATGCTCTCAACCCGACCAACAAGGCCCCAACACGCTCTGAACACGACCAACTTAGACCCCAACACGCTCTGAACACGACCAACAAGACCCCAACATGCTCTCAACACGACCAACAAGACCTTAACACAACCGAACGCGATCAAAATAAAAAATGTGACCTCTAGAGGGTCCACAAGCAAAAAACTGTATTGTTTGTACAATCACTAGACATAATCAAGAAGTTACGATCCAATGTGCGTGAATTTTTGTCTGATTTTGATGAAACAGAAAATTTATATGTTATATCCCGAAGATCTTGGTTCCTTTTGATATTCACGCATATCGGATCGTAAAATCCAGAAATATGGCCCCTAATTGTACAAAAAATACAGTTTTTAGCTTGTGGACCCTCTAAATGTCGCAATTTTTATCCGATTGTACAAAACGTTTATATATATCAGTGTTACAACCTAATGACGGGTGAGTTTGAATTTCAAGAAAATGAGACCAAAACTACCCAACAAAATGGATGATCCTTGTACACAAATAGTGTAAAAGTATTTAATATCAAACTTAAAATATATGTTTAAATGCCATAGATTTCAATTCCTTTTGATATTTGTGCATACCGGACTATAACTTCCTGGATTATGTCCCCTAATTGTACGAAAAATTGCTTCTTGTTAGTTTGTTTTTTTTGTCAATCTCTTGCAAGATGTGGGCGTAAATGTATCTTGCATGGCAGCCGCTTGTTTTAAACAAAAATATGTCTTGCGTCGTTTTTGGAATATTTGTTTTAAATGGATTTATTTGTACCGACTACATAATCTAAATGATAAGATGTCACATGTGTATGACTAGAGAATTTAAAGAACCATTAGTGATAACAAAGGTCTTCGATGATGGGTAAAGAAATAATGTTTGATTTGGGTGTGATTTGAATACACAGTTCAATCATATTAGATTTATATAAATTTGATAAACGTTTGCGAATCTGTGATAATACTTTGTGAACAAATCATTATTGAGGAATCAAACATCACTTCGAGCTTTACTGAAAGATACATTATATAAGATTTAGACCCAGAGCTGGCCATTCTTGCTATAATAGATCAAAAATAGATAATCCAAAATAAAATATTGAAAATTTAATTCAAATTACTCTATTGTGAGCAAAGATATTAGCCATCGATGGTTGGATAAGATGTGTGCATAGTGGAAACCAGGGCACTGGTATATTCGAGACTTAGCCTGGCTTTCCCATTTATAAATTAAATTTTTAAATGGCAAACTGTTCTAATCTAGTTAAGTAGTAGTTATTAGCACACTTTCCGAGGTGTATCGGTGAATATCAGGACAGTTTTGGTCGAGTGGCCCAGCCGAGGCGGCTCCCGACCAAATTTGTCCTGATATTCACCGATACACCGAGGAAAGGTGCTAATAAGTTACTTACATCACATTTCTATCGAGTATTGTGAAGCAAAATGTGAAAAATAGTATTTATTATCGAGTCGTTTCCACCGAAAAGTGACAAATACTTTCTGCTCTTTCATTTATCCCTTTCTGAGCCTCACGTTACATTTCATGGTAAAATGATTTCGCAGCGGAGAGACGACCTGAGTAGTATTTACACGTGCGTCTTGCTATGATACTCTGAGCGTAAAACAATCACGTGTTTGTTTAGACCACATTGTCAAAACAACTTGTCTATGGCATAGAGGACTGCGATATTATTAAATGTAGTGTAAAGGAAATGCGAAACGTGGGTCATTCCTGGTGAAAGTATGCATCGGCGGATGGTTCTCCCGTTGAAATTTATTTGTAATAAAGTTTATGACTTTCTAGGCGTTTTTTTTTCATCCTGCTTATTTTCAATGCCTGTGAAGTGTCCAGCAAGAGAACTGCGCCTTCTATCATCACAATTAATTAAAATAATTATTCAATATTCTAATTTATATATTTTGCATATTAATATAAATCAAACCAAATTATGAAATAGATACCAATTGATATGTATAATAATTGATTTTTGTAATATGTTGTTATGTTAATTTAATGTCATTGTATATGTTTTTGAACTGCCATGTAGTTCCAACCGGTTTGTTTTGTTACTATGATTTTGACTAGTTGTTTCATGTACATTATTCTTGTGCATTGTATAGAGCCATTATCAATTGCGATTTGGCTGGGTCGGACGTTTCCGTTACTTATTGCTTGATAGGTATCTAATACAGTGTTTCCGCTACTTATATAGGTATCTAATACAGTATAAAAGTATCCGTGTATCAGAATTGATCAGTACTCTTTCTGTATATTTCTGATACACGGATACTTTAAAGCAAGTATTGAAAATAAACAGGACAGTTTTATCAAAAGTTGCCAGTGGCAACGAGTAGAAGTGGGATGTAAAATCTTGGATATCTGATGGCATTGAGAGTTGATTATGGTCTTGTTTTGTTAATAAATGTCTACTTAATAGTTTATATAACATTTCAGGCCTAAAGAAAGACCTGCAATAGGCAGATTTAGCACTTACATAATGTATGTTTAAATTTGTTACTAGCGATACATGTTATGAAGATGTGATATTTATAAAGTAACATTCCAATTATTTCCTTATTTTATAGTATGCCTGTATAAAGTAACATGACAGATGGCCTGACAAGGACAACTGTCTAGTCGTTCGGATGGGACAAAAAACAAGGCCCCATATACGCGTATTGGTGTGCACGTAAACGATCCCTTGGCAGATGGAATTCGATATAAGAGTAGGCCATAGTGCTGCTGTCCGGTCCTGTGTCTACAATTAGCAGCATGTTCAAAATTGGAAATAAGAATTAGAGTAGGCCTTGGTGCATAAAATTATGCTTTTTATTTTGCGATATTAAAAAATATAGGAATAGATTTTAAACAAATTTACACAATTTTTTTTAAAAAAATCAAAATGCAAACAAACTGTTTTAGGTGGAATACTGTATGGGCTGACTGCACTAGTCGGGGTAGGGTTTGAATTGACAGTATGGGCTGAATCCACTATTAAGGGTAGGGTTAGAATTGACAGTATGGGCTGACTCCACTAGTTGGGGTAGGGTTAGAATTGACAGTATGGGCTGACTCCACTAGTTGGGGTAGGGTTAGAATTGACAGTATGGGCTGACTCCACTAGTTGGGGTAGGGTTAGAATTGACAGTATGGGCTGAATCCACTATTCAGGGTAGGGTTAGAATTGACAGTATGGGCTGACACCACTAGTTGGGGTAGGGTTAGAATTGACAGTATGGGCTGAATCCACTATTCAGGGTAGGGTTAGAATTGACAGTATGGGCTGACTCCACTAGTTGGGGTAGGGTTTGAATTGACAGTATGGGCTGACTCCACTATTCAGGGTAGGGTTAGAATTGACAGTATGGGCTGACTCCACTAGTTGGGGTAGGGTTTGAATTGACAGTATGGGCTGACTCCACTAGTTGGGGTAGGGTTTGAATTGACAGTATGGGCTAACTCCACTAGTCGGGGTAGGGTTTGAATTGACAGTATGGGCTAACTCCACTAGTCGGGGTAGGGTTTGAATTGACAGTATGGGCTAACTCCACTAGTCGGGGTAGGGTTTGAATTGACAGTATGGGCTAACTCCACTAGTCGGGGTAGGGTTTGAATTGACAGTATGGGCTAACTCCACTAGTCGGGGTAGGGTTTGAATTGACAGTATGAGGACCTAGGTTGGGTCAGCAGTTATTGGAGTATGATGTAGATGGCCCTGTGTTGTAGAGATTAGTAATAATTTGGTCATAGATTATAAAATTATAGATAATTATAGATAAAATTAAATTTTATTGCCTTTATTTTTTTGTATTTAGCACAATAATAATAAATAACTGTTTAACTTGTTTATTGAATAATGTTCAGTTGATGTATCTTTACATAAAATTATATCAAAATATCTTTTCTCTTTTATCTAAGTTTGCTGCATGGGTTCCACTTGTTAGTGATGAATGGCGGGTAGACTAATCACCGGAATTCATTTACAATCACCGAAATTCACTTCTAAAATCCCTGATTCCTCCCACAAAACTCACTTATTTTAAATGTATAATACATTTTGATCTCTCCGCAGGTGAATGGTACGGAACAAAGACGAGGTCCCGTGTAAACCTCGGCATGCATGTAAAAGAACCCTTGACAGTTGGACCTCAATTGTTGTCTTTGCAAAATTACTCTAGTTGCACACTCCATGTCATATGCCAGTCTCGTTTCTGTCTCTGTCTCTCCATTGATGATGTCTTGGATTGATGGCAACAACCGCGATTTTATTGGCTGTTTACAGTACACAACTCAACACATTGATAAAACATGTCAGATGTTAAGTGAACTATGATGGTTATCAGATTGTATAACAAGGCACCCATGGCAAACCCTCTTTTACTGCCCACCAATCCCCTGATAACATACAAGCCTGTCACCTAGTCAACCCCATTTTTACAACCCCAAACACTCAAGTGGTCTAAAAAGTTGCACAGAGTGCAGCCTACAGGACATGTAATAGTGGAGGTTAAAATTTTCCCCGAACCTTTCACACAACCAGAGAAAATAAACACAAGTCATATAATTGTGGCAAAATGATTTAATTATTCCAGGTGTTGTGTTGATGAGCCAGGGTGATTCAGATTAGAACAAAAATAATTTATGAAACTTAATTGCTGAGGCATCCCTTAATCTTGACCTCGATTCAAATAGAGTTAGTTCCCTTGTCGTGTTTTCATACCTGAAGGATGATTTGGTAGACTGCTGGGTCCTCTAGGTTAATCATTTCATAACAAAACGAAACTGATGGAATGATTTTATGTTTCGCAGAATTTAAAGGTGGTCATTTCTTTTCTTAGAAATTGTCATTGAAGTTGTGCAATAAAATTTGTATAAAGTCTTTCCGGAAGCAGTGACAAATTGTAATGTCAAAGAGCCACCCATGGGCCATATCGCACACGTTTTCATCTGTAGCCTACACAGACCAGTCGAGTTTGACAGTTTAATTTTAAAGGAATAATTCAATAATAAATTGTACGTGTTGTGAGTGTTTTGACAGAATGTTTTATTTGACGACATGTAATAGTCAGACACCATTGTCTATTATGGTAGGCTACTAGACATGTAGCACAAAATGGACGTCCAGCAATTATTATGTGAACGCAAAAACGGGTATCAGGCGTATTCAATACCAGGCTAATTCATTACCGGTAAAATCGGCGTATTCAAGACCAGTATATTATAGGGTTGCTTGATCGGTATATAAAGGTGCTAAGTAGTACTCTGTCTATGGGTGTTAATTGATCAATTAAGACAAGACAATAGAAGGATTAACAAGGTATTTATTATATATTTTAAATAGTCATAATACAAACAAGAGTTGAAATATTTAATATTCGAAGACAATATTTACATATAAAACATCGTATGCGATTAATAATAGCCATAGTTTCGTATTCAACTTTGAACTGAGTATTGTGTTTAACTTGACGTTACTATTAATATTATATATTTTAAATAATCATAATACAAACAAGAGTTGAAATATTTAACATTCGAAGACAATATTTACATATAAAACATCGTATTCAGTTGATGCGATTAATAATAGCCATAGTTTCGTATTCAACTTTGAACTGAGTATTGTGTTGATGTTACTACTAATATTTCTTTATTTATCACATCAAAAATCAATGTTTTCAGCTGATGCGATTAATAATAGTTCGTAAATAACTGTGAACAGGGTATTGTGTTCATAATTTTTTTTTCTTTTAGCTTTATACTTGAACGGGGTATTGTGTTTATAAATGTGATACACTATTAATTTTTTTTTTCTTTTCTTTTATGGTTGATACAACACAAACAACACTACAATACACTTACAACACAAACAACACTACAATACACTTACGACGATGTTTCCGCAGAGGGACCGTACAGAAACGCACACTCTCTCAATAGCCTACTAGTATCCATTTCACCTGCATTGTAGTTGGTCCATAGAGAGAATATGCGTGTCTGCATAAGTCCAACTCTGCTTCGTTGGCATCTGCTGATTTTTCCTTCGGTGAGCATCACCATATCCATTTTGAGTTTCTTAGCTTCTTTGTGTAGTTCTGCAAGCAATAAATAAAATGGAACTGGTCCCCGAGTGTTCAGTCGAGAGTTGATTCGGTTATGCCACCCCTCGACGTCATTATTCGTGCGAACGGAGCGCATAAAAATGGACCAACTCTTCGCACTAAACACTCGGTTCGATATCCATTGGTTCTCCACGTACTCAAGGACACTAATAACTCTCTCATCTTCAGTTTTCTGGAACATGTCCATGAAGGCACCATGAATTTTCTCCTCAGGAAGGAATGGTAAGGCCATGAGTTGACGCAAAAAATTGTACGCATCCCCTCGCTCGTTGTAAGCAACCTGAAATGATAATAAAAATTTTACAAAATTGTAAGCATCCCCCCGCTCGTAATGTTTATTGATAATGATTACAGAATATTGGTTATTGAATATTAGTTGCCTATACATACCTGCAGACCACATTCCTGGATCTTGCGAAAGACTGCTTGCGACCAGTGGAAAATGCAACCTTTAATGGATGTTCCCGGAAAAGTATCCTTCAAGGCCTGCCATGTGGCTATTTCGAAGTCAGCCACGAATTCTCGTACAGCTAAAACTGGACACAACTCCTTAATAGCTTCAAAAACCTAGAAATATAAAATTATTATAAATGAAATTTACATAAAAATTTAATAGTATATTAATTCAATATTTATAATGTTTTAGCGATGAGATTGAATATACTTACATTGTTAATGTTTAATATATGAAAGAAATAAATTAAAACATACCTTGCAGTAATCTGCATTTAGCATACTTATGATTTATTGATTTATTTATGATTTATTTCAATACTTATGATTTATTTCAATACTTATGATTTATTTCATGATTTATTTCAATACTTATGATTTATTTCAATACTTATGATTTATTTCAATACTAATGAAAGCAAGCAAAATCTGTGAACCTATAATATACTGGTCTTGAATACGCCGATTTTACCGGTAATGAATTAGCCTGGTATTGAATACGCTAGGATTCCAAAAACGAACCATATTGACAATTTAAAATTGAAGTAGGATACAGAAGTCAAAGTTCTCCCTCAAAATGATTATAACTAATAAAGTATTGTATCTACAATACATGCCCTTCCACCTGCTAATGAACAAAATCTTTTCTGACTGTCAACATTTTAATCCCTTTTTTTTCATGTTACAGGATATTTGAGAGATTTTATAGTTTGAAGTGAAAGAGTAGAACTGTTAGTTAAATGGAAGGAGGGGATGATGTTGCTGTGGCAACGATGGAGAGTTCAGAAGGTAAAAGCTCAAAAGTTGACGGATCAAATGTGGCAGAGAAATCGGGGCCCAGTTTGACAGATGGACAGACAGCATCAGAAAAAACAAAGAAACCCAGAATTAGAAATAAAAAAAAGAAGAAATTGGCCAATTCTCCAGATGTAGAGATAGACGCAGTTATGTCCGAAAAATCAAAGACAAAGACAAAGGTAGAATTGAAGGGTAGTGATGCCTCATTGCCACCATCATCTACTTCTGGTGTGGCTGATTCTAAGAAGAAAAGGAAGAAAATTGTAGCCGAGCAACTGATGGAAAGGACAGATTTACATGATGTCAGTTCAGCTACTTCAAGATTAGGTAAATAGATTTAACTTAGTTGACTTACAGGAGCCAAGTCTCATTAATTTTAGTCAGAAAGAAAATAGTTCAGTTGAGTTCATTCGACACTGTAACCTGGGTATCATTTAATCTTGTGTTACAGCCTGATGTGTTGCTTTCATCAGAGATGAGACATGATCTTCACAATTAAATTTTCTATGCAAAATATTAAATGGATGTCAATTTGTTTAATAGATGCCTGTTGTGGAAGATAGATAGAACATTAAACCCGTTTTTATTTAAGTTTCATTTGTCTAGATTGGTTAGGGTGATGGAGAGGATCGCAGCTCTTTGGGGCAAGTAGCTACTAGTCATGAGTCACAGCTCATTGGGCAAGTAGTCAATCACAGCACCACATGTCTCTTATGAATTTTTACACGCTCATGTTTTAATGTGGTCGTATACTACCATACTGCCGAGCGTGGATTTTAAGGGGGGAGGGGGGCGTGGATGGCACACTAGATTTGGACCCCCGCACCCCCCCCCCCATTCACAGCTTCTAGATCCACTACTGCATACTGTCATCACACCAGTCCATTGTTTCATCTGTCTGTCCATTGGTTCATCTGCCTGTCCATTGGTTCATCTGTCTGTCCATAGTTTCTTGGGGCTATGGTTATCATCTGATAAAAACTTCACAAATTGTTCAAAACAAATTGTTACAAACACTATTGCATTTTCTTTCAGATTGTTTAAAAATTGATAGTAGTGGAGATGGTCGGAAAACTGGTGGTAGTGGAGATGGTCGGAAAACTGGTGGTAGTGGAGGTGGTTGGAAAACTAGTGATAGTGTAGGTGGCCGAAAGGCTGAGGGAGGAAGTTACTCCCGGTTGAAACAGTCTTTCGGTCAAGGTGACAGTCCACTTCCCTCTTTAGGTCCTAATGCTGTTTATCCAGGTAATTTTTAGGAAAAGGGAAATAACTCTTGGTAATAGTAAATTTAGAGTAAATTAGATTATATTATTATTTGAAATTGAAAAGAATGATATGAAAACACAAGGGATCCACAGTGACTTGTTTACTAACCAAGTGGTCCCCGGTTCGATCCAAGTGTTGGCAGAGAAAGTTCCTCCGGAATTTCCAGTCTGGTTTCCCCATGTCAGTGCAGGACCAAGGGCCTGTCAAGGAACAGAGTCTAGTCGTTAAGATGGGACTAAGAATTAAGGTCCCGTGCATACATTGACATGCACATAAAAAATACTATGATTGTTGCTTGCTAAGAAAAAAGGCTACTGGGGGCATTTTCCACAATTTTAATTTACCGCTATTTTGATTATTCATCAATAGAACTAAATGGATCCAGTTTGAATCAAAATACATGTATATATGCTAAATCCTCGTATTACAGGAAATTCTCAGCAACATTGGAGTCAACGAATGGAATACTATGAGGAGAGTGGACGACCAATTACTGGTAGGACCAATACAGGTAACCCTGGTTATGCTAGTCCACAAGGTGGTCGTAATAGTCCACATGGAGGTCGGAGTAGTTCACATGGAGGTCAGAATAGTCCACATGGAGGTCATAATAGTCCGCATGGAAATCAGAACAGCCCTCTTCAATATGACGATCAGCACTTCCAAAATTATGGGCAGCATAATAACCATAGGAGATCTAATTCTAGTCACCATGTGAAAGGTAACCCTCATCAAGGTCATGGTTATCATTATCCTCAACGTCAAGGTTATCCTCAAGTTTTTCAGCCATCAGTTCCTGGTTATCAGGGTCTAGACCAGCAATCAGGTCAAGGTCAAGGTTATCAGCATAACCAAGGTCATCAATCTGGTCAAGGTTACAAGAGACAGGGTCGACAAAATAATAAAAATTGTCAGCAAAAATATAAGGTTGGTTTTCTTATTTTGTTTTATTCAAGATATTTATTATTGTCTTGTCATACAATATTCGTGGGAGAAAAAATCCACTTGTGTAGGCCGACACATTCGTGTGAAGTTTATAAAAAACAAACCTTGGTGGTTCAAAATTGAGGAAGAGTTGGAGGAAATACTGCAGGTTCTCTCCCTTGCTTTGTACACGAAATCATTGAAACAAGAAGATACCATATATTAGTCTCAGTGATAATATTTATATCAAATACAGTATAATTGATAATATTTATTATTATCATCTTTATATCAAATACTGTATTATTGATAATATTTTTTAATACTGTATCTTTGGTAATATTTATAATTACAGACAATAAAATTTGATCCCTACTGGTCTAAACAAGATTTAGCTGATGGCTTAAAGAGACAAGAACTCATTGAGGTAAAATATTTTACTTTATAATAATTACCAAGCTACACGGGGATTGCTTCCTTCCTGGCCTGGGGGATTGGTCAGGGGTTGCTTCCTTCCTGGCCTGGGGGATTGGTCAGGGGGTTGCTTCCTTCCTGTCCTGGGTGATTGGGGGGGGGGGCTGAATGATTTACCTGGCGTGGGGGATTGGGTGGCCGAATGATTTAATGCATGCGTGAAAGATCACAAGTTCTGTCATTGAGTCAAGTGGCGTGACAAGAATTAGGGTGATGTGACGGGGAAAAGGGTTGCCTGTCTAACATCTTGGGTTTTCTCTGGGTCCCCCGGTTTCCTCACGCTGCTAAAGAGGGCTATGTGCAAGACAATTAGTGAAATAAAATTGAACCATGTGTTAGTCCCAAAATGACCTAGTTTGTGTCGATGGGCGTTATGACATTACCTAACAGTATCACGAAGTAACACAGGTACATATCTTATTTCAGGGTTTCTACCACGTATTGTAGTGTATCAGTATTTATAGTAAGAAGTTTATTTGTTGGAAGTCTTATTTTTTCTCCTTGAATTTACAGCCCGTTAGTTCAAACATTCAATGATCTTTAATGATCAGGGGCGTTGGATGGCCGAATGGTTAGCACGTGCGCGCGCTGTATCATAAGGCCTGTCATTGAGTCAACTGGCGTGGTTTCGAATTCCCGGTTGTACGTGACAAGGAGTAGGGTTGCCTGTCCAACCTCATGGGTTTTCTCCGGGTCCTCCGGTTTCCTCCCACTGCTAAAGACCCCTACGCGCAAGCGAATTATTGAAATAAAATTAAACCATATGTTTGTCCAGAAATGACCTAGCCTGTGTTGAGTGGACGTTAAACCCCATTTCTCTCTCTCTCTCTTTAATGATCATTATTTTATACCCTTAGCGTAATTCAAAGTGTTTTGCGGAATCTAACTATGTTTATATGATTATTTTACAGGGACCAATAAGAATCAACCCTAAGAATTATGAAGATGCGTACGTACCGTTACCAGTAAGTGTCTTTATTCTGTTAACAGAATTTTACTTGATAACGATAAGTGAATAATTATGATACAATTGTGACATGTATATTATATTATATTATTTATACAGGATGGTAGTTGTTGTGACATGTATTTTATATTATATTTATACAGAATGGTAGCTGTGACATCTATATTTGTGGAATGAAGAGTAGAAATCGTGCTTTAAATGGTGATATTGTTGCTATCCAGATTTTAGATAGAGATAGTTGGAAGGTAGGTCTTTCACTCTAGATCATAGGTGGAGAGTCTTTCACTCTAGATCATAGGTGGAGAGTCTTTCACTCTAGATCATAGGTGGAGAGTCTTTCACTCTAGATCATAGGTGGAGCTCTTTGGCAATGTCCAGCGATAATTCAACCTCCCGCTTATGCACTCAAACTTCCTTGGTTCTAATTCTTAGCTTTTTTTATTTCGGAAAATGTTGTTTTGTTGTGTAGTATCATTTATTTTATGAATATTGAAATGATGGACTTAATTGGATCTTGTAGGTTTACGAAAATGATCTTGAAAAGTATGAAACAGATATGAAATCAGAGAAGCAGAATGGCCTTAAGGGAGATAACTCTGATTATGAGAATTCTGGCCCAGATGTAGTTTTAGAAAGTGAAGAAATTGTTGATAAAGAAGCAAATATCAAAGTGAAAGTAGAATCCAATCCTGTGCCTAATGAACAAAATAAAGACAAAACTAAAAAAAGTGAGATGCAGAAAAAGAAGTATTTATCGATTAAAGAAGTGCTGAGTAGTGGAAGTTCGATAGCCAAAGATCTGCTAAAAATGGATGTTAATCACTCAAAGGCAAGCTCCTTCGTACAGAAAGTGGGAAAGGTAATATACTTTAATTTTAATCAAATTCTGCAATTATTACAGCACAGATTTTCTCATCATTAGTTGTTTTCCTTCAAATTCACAGGGATTGTAAATTGAAATTTAGATTTTAAATTCTGTAACTATCTTTGCATTCATAGCCTCCAGGACAGAGTTCTCAATGGAATATTTTAAACTTTGTGAGATGGTTTATTACAGGGGGGGTGGGGGGCGTGTGCGCGTTGTACATGTATCATACGGTCTGTCATTGAGTCGACGGGTGTGGTTGTCGATTCCCCAGATGTATGTGACGAGGAGTAGGGGCGCCTGTCCAACTTCATGGGTTTTCTCCGGATCCTCCACTTTCCTCCTACTGCTAAAGACCCCTATGTTCAAGCGGATTATTGAAATAAAATTGAACCATGTGTTAGTCCCGAAATGACCTAGTCTGTGTAGCATGTACTTTAAACATCATTTCTCTCTCTCTCTCTTGTCTTCATTCGGCAAAAGGAAGAACTTGATTGAATTTCACTAATTTTAGATCATAAATTAAAATGTTCTAAAGCTTAGTATTAGTCCATTTTAGATTTCTACAATTTGCTTGGTGTGATTTATTGACAATGATTTTAGATATAGAACGGACATCTTCACTACTTGTGCTTGTATAGTTGGCCTGACAAGCCCCAGTTTATAATTGGTTGCTTGTATATAGAATATGTTTTATTTTAGGTTGTGGGTATTTTGGAGAAGAAACATTCTCGTGCAGCTAGCGGCCATATTAAATTACTAATGGATAAGAGTAAGGAACTTGCTCTCTTTTCACCTTTTGATCATAGACTTCCCAGAATTCTACTTCCAATGGACGAATGCCCAAAAGGTTAGTAGTTGGTTCAGTATTTTTTTTCCAATGGCTGTATTTGAAACTAAGACATCTATTCCCTGATCATTTTATGGAGCTCAACATAATTTTACAATTATTAAAACCACTGTATGTCATTTTTAATTTCGCACAATATCGATATTTTTCATGGTTTAATCTATGTTAGAATTATATTCAAATTGATTAATTAAAGGTAAAAATCTAATCTAGCGATGGTCTTCAAATATTATATTAATTATTATTTAGACATTAATTAACATGAAAAGTTTAATTTATATCTGAAAATTGCCAGTTCATATTCTCAACTGTCACACACCATTGCCATGAATAGTCTCAAATTTCAGTGCTTTAATCAGCTTTCACATTGTTTAGGGTAAATAAATCTAGTATTGTGTGATTAATTTCATCACATTTCACAAGTTATTATCAATTTTATTGAGCCTGGTCATCATGGTGGGATTGAAAACTGAAATCTGCCTTTTACGTATTAATGATCTCTTGGCAGTTGGAATTTAAAAAAGCGTAGATGTAAGCATAAATGTTTCCACCCATGCATTGCACAGTTCACCATTTAAAGCAAATTAACAGTGTGTTAGTCCCCAAAAAAACCTGCATAAAGTGTTGATGTGATATTTTATGCTGTTCCATCCCATTCTCAAATTCTATTTATTTTATGTTTGCTCATCATTAGTACAAATACATTCAAACGTTTTTTTGTTATTCAATTTCAGATTTTTATGAAAGACCAGAGGATCATGCCTCTACTTTATTTATAGCCAGAATAATAGACTGGGAAGAAGAGTCACAATATGCCAAGGGGTAAGTTAAAGATGGGGGAGCCACTGTATCTCAGTGAATAAGGTGCTGGCTCTTTAAAAGGTACAATGTTTGATCCTAGGGGTTGACAGAGAAAGTTCCTCAGTGGTGCATTACGGTTGGCAGGGCAAGTAAAACTGAGGTCCTGTGTACATATTGGCATGAATTCTAGCTAGATGTAACTTGAGACGAGTTCTGTTGTAGCTACTGACGTCTCTTCCCTTTTATAGTGGCTTTCAAAAAAGATGAAAGAGCATCTAGGTTCCTGAAAGGTACAATAGATACAAAATTGCAGCTTTTAATCGAGAAGCATTCTGTACCTTTGAGGTCGCCTGGATGTCAAATGTAATTCGCTATTAAAAAAATGAGAGAGAGAGAGAGAGAGAGAGAGAGAGAGAGAGAGAGAGTTTAACATCCACTCAACACAAATAGGTCATTTTGGGACTAACAAGTGTCCTATATACTATAGTGGGGTCGAAACCACACTACTTACTCAATGACATACTTTATAATCCAAAGTGCATGGGTCAGACCAATCGCACCCCCCCCCCCCCTCCTATAAAAAAACACTATATATTACAAAAAGTCAAGGGTTTCAGTTTTTTTAGTTGGAATATTATTGAGAAACTTGTGGATTTCTAGTTCCATTTTATTAAGATAAAAATACAAAAAAAACCCCTCCGCATAGAGTTTATAAAATGTTTTACTGATTTACAACAAATAGATATAAACAATTAATACAGCTGATTGTCTTTCGTTGGTGCCTGTCAGTTGGTCTAGAGCAGGTTTGTTTAATTCTCTGTGTTTTTATTATATAATTGACATAAAACTAGGAATTGAACTAACGTCCAATATTGGTGAGACAAACATACAATCTGATGATAATATACATATCTCTTTATAGTTTATTTATTATACCCTACCTATCATAGCCCGCACAATAAGTTATCTTTCTGGTAAAATGTCAGAATGTTCACTTACATGGATAATACTCACCTTTATCTGACAAGGTAACAATAACGTTATTTTTATGTTTATAAACATTAAACTTGCCTCTGGCTTAAAAACATCAACGTAAATATTATGGTTTGAACAGGATATATAAAACATTGTAAATATAAATATTTCAATATAATTGAACATTATTAAATGATTAATGTATATTATTAAAGAGTAGGGTTGTCTGTCCCACCTCGTGGGTTTTCTCCGGGTCCTCCAGTTTCCTCCTACTGCTAAAGACCCCTACGCACAAGCGAATTATTGAAATAAAAATGAACCATATGTTAGTCCCGAAATGACTAAGTTTGTGTGGAGTGGACGTTAATTCCCATTTCTCTCTCTATTATTAAATATCAATGTACATTATTGAATAAAGATACGTAATTCAATATGAATGTACACTACATGTATATTTAAAATGGATGCATGGTATTAATTATATAATCTAATAGGTATGTTAATTAAATAAGGATGTAGAACATAAATAAATGTACACATTGTTTAACATAAATATACAGGACGTTAAACCCCATTTCATTTCATTTCATTTCAACATAAATATACACATTGTTTAAGATATGATCTAATAGAAATGTACATTATTCGATATATGTGATCTTATAATAATGTTCATTGTATAATTCACTAAAAACATGCATTCAATAATGGAATATCACATTTGTGTTTATAAATGAATAGAAATGTACACACAGATTGTATTTTTCATCACAGTTGTACAGATTTTAATATATAAAAACTTATAAAACTTTCTGCTTGTACATCCATACAATAATATTATTAATCTTTGAACATCATATCACAGTAACTTAAATGGTTAAATTTATTTATAAACAATATAGATATCTTTATATACAAACAACTATAACTTGCTACAGACACATTAATCGTATACAAATACTTTAAAATGGCTAGATCTCTACGATTCAGGTTCTCCCAAACAGATTGCTTAATTATCGAATAATACGCTACATTAAACTAAATACAGATACCGTCTTCAGTAGCCCAGTCGGAAGTTAAACCTCATTTTATTTCATTTCATGTATATATATTCTCTAAAATGGCTAGATTCTAGTTCCTGTAAAAAGATTGTTGCTTTCAATGGAGTTTATATGTTGATATTGTTTTTTAGGGATGACAATCTGCTTATAGATGTTGGCCTCATTAACATTGTAAGCCAAAAACTGTAACTAAATTTAGTAAATAATCTTTCAAAACACGAATCAAGCCGTATTACACTAACTGTATTGAACTAAATGAAATAAATAACAAGGTTAATCTGAACTCTTGTTTTAAAACATTTTGTAAAAAGGGAGTCAAAAAGTCAAAATTGGCATGTTTAACGATATTCACATTTTATTGTGCATCTTTTCATTGACTTTCCTCAGTCGATATAAATGGCAGTTTTCCTTGATCTTTAGTGGTTATTTTGTTGACATAATAACTTGCTAAGATGTCATTATTCTGCTTATTAATTCAGTTAATTCTTTACTTAGTCTTATTTCTAAATAATTTACAGCCACAAAATGTGGATAATTTTGAGTTTTTTTGGATGATTTATCCTTGTTTATGCTAAAAAAAAAAAGGTAAAACATCGAAATGAAATCCTACGTTTTTCTTTTCCCAGCATTTTATAAGTATGTATGATATATTCAGCGATTGGGACACATCTAACGTCACATACCACTACCCTTCTTTTTGATACATCGAGCGCAACATATTTTCTTAAATTGCGATCTGAAAACCTTGCTGGTTGCTGGGTATATAATAGGGTTAATCATGTTGCTGATAAAAAATATGTTATGAAGGATTTCTTGATACGAGAGAAGGTTAAACTCAATCAAATAAAACGGCATCCATGTTAGAATATAGATCAAGGTCACAAGGAATAAACGACGGGAGATTACCGTGGATAATTTATTGGACGAAGACAAATCAAAGAAATTGCTTGCCGTGTTTCCTTGCCGCGAAGATGTTGGGCCAACTTGAGGTAATGTCAAGGGGCCCGTAGTACCCCCAGAAATTGTAATTACAGGCATTGGTTCGGCCTCAGCTTCGGCAACTGCTGCTGCTGCTGGGGCCGCTGCTCCAGGATGGATTGCGTTATTCCACATTTTCCAATTGGCCTCTCGTTTACGTAAAGTTGAGAAGACGACAATGTACAAGACACTGATGGAGATTATCATAATGACATACATGATAAATAGAGTGAGGTGGGTTGTCAGACGGTCGTCAAATTCTCGTAGCGGGTTGGACACAAGTCGTGTGATATGACAACGCTCCGGATAAATTGTGAACGTCTGGTTATTTATCCTCATCTTGATAAAAACGGACGAATGAAGAGCAGGCAATAACGCTATTGTAAAGGCAGTTGCTACGGCTGAAAGCGACATAATCAACGCCCAGCGATTATTGAGACGCAATTTATGAGTTTTGCAGACGGCAAGATAACGATCAACGGCAATAATCAGTAAAAATAAACAAGATAGTCCAACAAAGGCGTAGGAATACCAGAGAGTTATCTTACAGATATAGGAATATTCTAAAGGTATTTCTATAAATCTCAATGCGATACATGTGGGAAGAACTAAAGTACAGATTAAAAAATCAGAAACCGCTAAACTTAGAATGAAATAAATCGATGGCGTTTTCTTCTTTAGATTTACATAAATTATAATAACCGTGCTGTTGCCAAGGATACCCAATGTACAAATTAAACCAAGAAATGCACTTATGGACAGATTCTCCGTTGAAAGACTGTCCATTACATCGGAGAACTCTGGCATCATCATGCTTATTTCACGAATTGTTTTAAATGTTGGGGCCACCATTTTGTATGGATTAGTGGACCGGTACATCGACATAAAAATGGTTACTTTGGCACATTAAATATTATGACCACAGAAATTATCTTTATGTTCCAGAAAATATTACAATATGTTCTTTTTCGTTATTTTCTTAACTCATTAAAACTGTTTTGGTATCTGGTTGATCTCGAATAGTTATTTCCTGATTACAACTTCACATTCAGAATATATAGCGTCTGATCTTTCCACCTTGTCCGTTTTTCAAGAAAGTTGTTCAGAATTTGGTGTAGAATCAGGTCACACACAGTTTTTCTTATTCTTGGGATTTTCCAACCTAAATTTGCAATTTGAATCCAAGCTGCTGTAAATTCTTGAATGTTATTTTAAAAACTGCATCCGTCAATTTTCACACTTTTATTGTTCACAAAATATATGTTTCTCTGCAGAAGAATTTATGCTAAACAATGCTAAACAAAAGTAGGGAGACAATCTTGATATGTTTAGATGGTGATTTATTATTGTCTTCGTAAAGGAAAGGAAATAAATCTGAAATGAAAGTTATATTGTTTGAAGGAAAGACGAATCGAACTATGAAATCACCTTGATAAGAGGACTATATTGAGACCAACTTATTGTATTTTTGTGCCTATCAAGGTAAGGTAATGATATACACCTTGAGTAAGGTGAAATGGAATTAAATTGGGGTTTAGTAGCTGTACCAACTGTACTAATGAAAACTAGCATAAGTCATGCAGTGTGCAGAGGTATCCGTTTATTCCTAATTTCAACTACCAAGGTTCTATGTGCACAGCCATGGTTTTTCTTCCCATCTGAATGACTATATGATATTCCTTGGTAGAGAGTAACTTTCCTAGCCAACAACAGGATTGATCCGAGGACCCCCCCCCACCATGTCTCCCAAGGCAAATGAGAACAAGGATTAGAAATTTCTATGGTTAATAATAACCTGGTTCTTGGGTATTATTATCATCTTACTTGATTTTATCAAAATCATCAACTGGATTTTGTATCTTTATTTAACATTTGGTTGGTTCATTTGTGCATAAGGTTAAGTAAGGGTTAGAGAATAGATGCTTTGGATGGCCCTAACGCTAACCCTTTATCACTCAATGCTCCATCTAGTGTCTGGAACTGCCTTAGTCCCATGAAGTAGTCATTATTTACATAGGTTACCAACTAATAAACACCAATCATTTAAAGTCACAATTAAATATTTTCTAAGAAAGTCAAAACATAATTATTTCTATGTCTTTTACACTCAATAGGTTGTCAACTCACTATTATACGATCATAGGTTATCTTTCTCACACTTAAAAATCTTCACACCGGAAATAATAACACAATTACCTCCCTTGTTTTCCTATTCCCCACCATGGAATAGCTATCTTCAAACGTTTGAATTTGAAGTTGAAAGTGATATTTTTGGCAATTTCTCAACTGGCAATAGTGAATTATAGGATTAATAGGATTATTCTTTAACACGGTAGGACTGTTTATAGATAGCATCGATTTTAAAAATATAACTTAAAAATATGAAATTCTAACTTTAAGAGAGAAACCGGTGAGTAATGCTAGCTTTCCACTATCATGATTGACATCGTGGTGATCCTATCATCAGGTCTTATCATATATTGAGGTCAATTGTAGCAATATTGTGTTGATCGTATTTAAACGTATCTGCACCTAGCATATCGTGTACTCAATAGGAACAATCCTATCGTATCGCATCGCACGAAAGTGGGAACCTGACATAATGCGGGTTTGTTCCTGGTGTTGGCCCAGAAAGTTCATTGGGATTTTCCGGCATGGTTTCCCCTGCTCCCTGCATTGGCCGAGAAAGTTCATCCCGATTTTCCGACTTGGTTTCCCCTTGTCAGTGATGCAGGACGGAGGGCCTGACAAGGACAGCTGTCTAGTCGTTCGGATGGGACGAAAACCGAGGTCCCGTGTACATATTGGCGTGTACGTAAAAAATCCCTTGGCAGTTGGAATTCGATATAAGAGTAGGCCGTAGCGCCGCTGCCCGGGAAAAATTTCCCTCATAGCACACTGTATGGCGTATGCCCGTCTTCATTAGCCCACGTTCGGAGCAGAACATTTCTGTCAGTTGTACAGGATAAGGACTCTATCGGATAGGACAAAAAAAAACAAGGTCCCATTTATACACATTGGCTTTCACATAAAAGATCCCTTGGCACTCGAAATAAGAGTAGGCCTTAGTGCCGCTGTCTGGGCAAAATTTCCCTCATAGCAAATTATATGGCGTAAGCCCGTCTTCATTAGCCCCTTCAGTGCAAACGTTAAACCCCATTTCATTTCATTTCATATCAGAAATTGGTTTAATATCCACTGGGCACAAATTAGAACATTTTAATACTAATATATGATATCCTTATTCTAATAGTTTGCTTGCACACTGAGAGGTGACCTAACACCTTATTATGTATAATAATTCTTACCTGTAAGATGTAATAAATTACCGTCCATCCTACTAACATATTTCATACATTTACATCATGACCTTGCAATAGAAAATAATTTTATTAACTGTTGGATTTTAACAAATTTTTTCATTTCATTTTACAATAATTATCTGTTGTACAGTTTTATATAAAAAAAAAAATATTTATTTTTCTTCTTTTTTTTTCTAAACTAAAAGGAAGGAGTGACTTTCTCTTCTTTTGAACTCACTCCATTTTTTTGGGGGGGAAGTCTGGTTTGACTTTGTTCAAGGACATATAGATTTAAAAAAAAAAAACTTTTTGGGACTTACCTGTTGATTATAATCGTTGAGAATTTTGTAAGAAAGAAAATCTCCTTCTAGATCCAAATCTATGATACATCTGTGCCTTACGCATCCTTTGATAGATTCCGTTACGTTGCCAAGGTAATTAAACATGTCCGCTGCTATGATTTACGATGTTGAATATAGAATAATATATTAATCTTCATTAGATCGCATTAATTATGATCATTATTTTCCTGTATCTGATATGTTTTGTTTTGTTTTTTTAACTCCCAAGATTTTGTTACTGTGTACATGTAATTTGATACAGTCTATCATATCATGCTTTACAAACAAAATTTAACTTCACACATGAATGCATACTCTACCTCATGCATGTCAAATAAGTAATCAGTCTTAGCAAATTTTATAATTAAAATTATTATTCCATGAAAATGAAATGGGGGATGAGGGGAGGCTAACATCCAACTTTACTCATCTATCCAGGTTAGTATAGACAGGATGATTATTCGAGTCATATTATCGATGTTTTAAAAAGCCATCAAAGACTTGTTGTTCTCCTGATTACTAATTAATTGTAAATAGATTTGTGTCTAGTGAGCAATAACTTGGATTGATTGTGATGAGTTGAGAGAAACAACTCGTAAACCTTAATAAATTATTAAACACAATCATAAGCCTATTGAAATTATTCTTTTAAATTTTTAAAAATACTCTCGTACCATAGGTGGATATTGAAATGTTCCTGATGTATTTACTGTCACCAATGGGCCTTAACTTTTTATTTTGAATGCGGAACAATATCATATGTGCAGTGTCTATGTCGTTAGTGGGGTCTGTCTGCTTGAATAGGGAGGGTTGGATGGCCGAAAGGTTAATTAGCATGTGTGTCGTGTGTGCTGTATCATAAGGTCTGTCATTGAATCAACCAGGGTGATTTTGAATCCCTGGTTGTACGTGACAAGGAGTAGGGTCGCCTGTCGAACCTCGTGGGTTTTCTCCGGGTCTTTCTGTTTCCTCCCACTGCTGGGGGGGTTGGATGACTGAATTGTTAGCGTGCATGCTGTATCATATGGTCTGTTATTGAGTCAACTGGCGTGGTTTCGAATCACCGGTTGTACGTGACAAGGAGTAGGGACACCTGTCGAACCTCGTGGGTTTTCTCCAGGTCTTTCTGTTTCCTCCTACTGCTAAAGACCCTACGCGCAAGCGAATTATAGAAATAAAATTGAACCATGTGTTAGTCCCGAAAGGACCTAGTTTGTGTCAAGTGGACTTTAAACCCCATCCCCATCTTGCGTTCTCTTCACTGAGAGCCACAAAAAATCACATCATTTTCTTTCCGTTTATTTGAAAAATGAAATGAAAATGAAATAAAAATGAAATGAAAATGGAAATGAAAAGAAATGAAATGGGTGTTTAATGTCCTACTGTTTGCTCCGACTGGCCATACAGCGGCGCTACAGCCTACTTTTATATCAAATACTAATTTCCAAGGGATCTTTTACTGTGTGCACGTCAATGTATACCCAGGACCTTGGTTTTTCTTCCCATCTGAATGACTAGACAGCTGTCCGATCTCTGTCCTGCACCACTAACAAGGGGAGACCACACCAGAAAATCCTGATGAACTTTATCGGCCAACATCGTGATCGAACCCAGGACTCCCCAGCTAGTGAACCAGCATCTTACTCATTTAACCACCATGGCTCCTCCATCATTTGAGATGTCACAGCCCGGCACAGTTTGCCTTGTTTTGTTCATGGGTGTTCTGTGAATTTCACGCAAAAACATGTGATATAAATTTGTATTGATAAGGTCTTGACTGATTTTTATAGCCCCACAACAAACTTTTGAGGAAGATACGTTGAATAATTTGTTTTCCTAATTAAATGTTAAATATTTAATCTGAGTTGCTATTAACCTGGTTTTAAGCCGTGAGAAATTGTCCGACCAAATGTAAATCATGTTCCGTTACTTTAAGTTAAGAGGTTTGGAAGAATATCTGTTTATTTATAATTTGTTATGAGATAAAGGATATATAAAGAATTGAGGAGTCAATATTAGAAATATTTTGTGTTACATATATAGTAATGCATGTTACTATAAATAACTATGTGATATTATAACATATAATAGGTTGTTATTAATGAGTACTGTATTATAACAAGGCTAATTTCAGGTGAACAGGCACAATACATTAATTATCATTTACCTCTTACAACTAATGTACAAACTGGTCCAATTTTTTTTACTTTGGGTGTATTTAGGATGTGGGTGGGGTGGATGAGGTTGGGGAGACTACCCTACCAATGATTGTTTTAGCTTCAAATGGTTTTATCACAGGGGCGCTACGGCCTACTCTTATATCGAATTCCAACTGCCATGAAATCTTTTATCTTTTACATGCAGGCAAAGTGTACACGGGACCTCAGTTTTTCGTTTCATCCAAACGACTATATGTTGTCCCTTACCATACCCTCTGTTCTGCTCCACTACCAAGGGGGCCCACGCCAGAAAATCCTGATGAACTTTCTTGGCCAGAGCAGTGATCGAACATTGGACATTCAGGCTAGCGAGCCAATGTCTTACTCACTGATCCACCGTGGCTCCTTGTAGACACTTCACTGTCCAATGATATAGTTGAACACTTCATCCAATACCAACAGTCAAATGTTCTTTTATGTGCATGGTGGGCGGTACGGTGGCTCAGTAGGTAGGATGCTGGCTCGCTAGTCTGGAGGTCACAAGTTCGATGAACTCTGCCAAAAATTTATCGGAAACTAGCTGTCATTAGTTTATTCATACGGAACAGGAACTTTTGCTTTGTTAGCATGTCTGAGGCAGTAATAATTCAGCAAGAATTAAAAGTTAATATTATTGGTATATATTTCAGTCAATTAACAAGAAGTTTGGGTGAAGCTGGGTTGATTGAACCTGAAACTGAGGCTCTACTTGTAGTGTATGATGTAGATTTTACTGAATTTACAGATGAGGTAAGTAGAATATTACAACTTAACAATACCCTTTTGATCCACAGCATCTGTTCCTATCGTCAGAGCCACCCTGGCTCACTGAGTTCGATCCATCTGGAAGACCTGGATTTCATCCCAGTGTAATCCGAGAAATGAAGGGCCTGACAAGGAAATGTGTTGATTCATACGGATAGTATGAACAGAACCAAAATTCTGTGTATACTATAGGAAACATGTTAAAGATACATTCTCACGAAAGTATTTAGAAGGTAGTTATTTCCAATAAAAGTATGGCAAATTTGGTACATACGAAAAGTAGAGACCCCCAATCTTACTAGAAAAATAGCGGATTCCCTGAAAAACACACATGAGGCAAGCACTAGTCAAAAATGTCAGGGTGTCACTAACAGGCCAACCAATGGCTTATTGTCTGCCAGCTTGACTTAGGGAGCACTTGTTATTTCTTGATTGTATAGTGAAGCAGTTTTGGAAACATTGAGGGGTTGAAACATTCAAAGACTCTGCCATTAAACGGTGAAAAAGCAGTTGCCAGAAGATAATCCAAGAATTTACATAGGCTACAATATGTATGGTTCGTCCATCCACAATTTCTTGTGAACACTACAGACTACATTTATCATCTTATTGTTTTGAAATTGATATATGTTGTTTGCATTAGTGAGAAGAAGAAGCCTATTTAATTTCAATAACTTCAGATAATTTCTTCTGGAATTATGGCCCTTGTTTCACTTTGTTGCACCTTGTGAATGCTCTAAGACAAAAGTTATCAACCGATCTGTATGAAATTTATATGTATCATTTAAATTTGTGAAACAAACAAACCTATTGAATTTCAGCAATTTCCGTTAATTAAATCTAGAGTTATGGCCCTTGTTTCACAACAGTTATCATCCGATCTGTATGAAATTTATATGAATCATTTAAATTAGTGAAATGAAGAAGCCTATTGAATTTCAGCAATTTTCGTTAATTATGTCGTGAGTTATGGCCCTTGTTTCACTTTGTTGTACCTTGTGAATGGTCTAATGACAAAAGTTATTATCCGATCTGTATGAAATTTATATGTATCGTTTAGATTAGTAAAATGAACAAGCCTATTGAGTTTCAGCAAATTTCCATTAAAGATACATTATGTAAGATTTAGATAAAGAACTAGCCATTCCTGCTATAATAGTTCGAAAGTAGATGATGTAAAATGAATAATTTGAAAATTTCATTCAAATTACTCTATTGCAAGCGAAGATATTAGCCTTTGAAGGTTTGAAAGACGTGTACAATAATTTCAACCACCGTACTGGTTGATCGAAGCTAAGTCTCGGTCCTCCATATTTGATTAAATCATAGTATCGCTGAACCATTCTAATCTATTTAATATCGGAGAAATCTGATGCCATCGAGAGTTGATTAAGGCCTGGATCAGTTAATTAATGTCTAATTAATACTTTAGAAAACATTTCAGGCCCAAAGAAAGACCTGCAATAGGCAGATTTAGCTCTTGCATAATGCATGTTTAACTACATCTAGAGTTATGGACATTGTTCAATTTGTTGAATCTAATGAACGGTCGAACGACAAAAGTTATCACCCAAACTGTATGAAATTTATATGCATCATTTATATTAGTGAAATGAAGAAGGTTATTGAATTTCAGCAATTTCCGTCAATTACTTCTAGAGTTATGGCCCTTGTTTTACTTTGTTGAACCTTGTGAACGTTCGAACGACAAAAATTATCACTCGATCTGTATGAAATTTATATGCATTATTTGAATTAGTAAAATGAAAAAGAGTGTTGAATTTCAACAATTTCTGTAGATTACTTCCAGAGTTATGGCCCTTGTTTTAGTTTTTAGAACCTTGTGAACCGTCAAACGACGAAAATTTATAATGTCGTCTGTATGAAATTGTCTATTAAATGCCCCTAATTACCAATAAATATGCGACAACCCTTGTCGACCGCTCGGATGATTTAGCTGCTGTGGGAATATGTTTTGTTGCCTGGCAACCTATCTTTGGTAATTTTAAATGATTTTTACGAATTTTTAAACAAAGATTTGATATTGAATGAATGTGAAAGAAATTAGTGCTAGATACACAAGATTAAATGATACCTGGGTTACAGTGAAACAATTTCACTCATAGCACACAGCATTTGTATAACATAAGTTAGAATATTTATGTGTATATTTTTTAGACTTTAGCCTGTCTACCACAGAATCTACCATGGAAGATACCCGCAAGTGAGTTTGAATATCGTCGTGATTTCCGTAAAGAATGTATCTTTACAATAGATCCCGCTACAGCCAGAGATCTCGATGATGCTGTCTCGTGTGAAACTCTAGGAAATGGTAAATTTTAATTACAATTTAATTGCTACTCAAAAAGATACAATCTAATTCTCCGTGAACAAAAAACTTTTAAAAATAGGCTGTTTCAAAATATAATTATTTTTATGAACTTTGGATATTGGAATTTAATGGAAAGAAATGTAAACATTAAATGGAGAACTGACTTTAATGTTTGGATTGCGTATGGTCTTTGACTGGCATTCTGCTTCGTTGTTTCTAAGATATTAGCCCATTAGCCCTTGGTGCATGTAATTATCGGGGTTTTGTTGCTGATTTTAAAATCTACCAGAAACTACTAGACCTTCTCAAATCACAGAATTAGTATACAGTCCTTAAAAAGATCAGGTGTATTCACGTGACCAAATGCTTTGAGACGACAGAGAACAGCAGTTTCCAGCTGTTTGAGACACTGAAGTTTCAGACTGCTTGAGATGGCAACAGTTTCCGACAGTTTGAGACACTGAAAATAGCAGCATTTTTGAGACGCTGGGACTGTTAATACTCTGGAAAGAGCTGTTAATTTCTGGCTGTTTCAGATGCTGGAGAGAGAAGTAGGTTCGTTCCGTCCAAGTGCTTTAGGGTTTAGCTGTTTTAATTTAATGTTAATTGAAGTATAAGTTGAAAGAGTTTATAATTGTTATTTTGTTAAGGTATGTATGAAGTGGGAGTACATATTGCTGATGTCAGCTTCTTTATTGATCCGCGATCAGCGTTAGATAAAGTTGCTGCTGAACGAGCTACTAGTGTTTATCTCACACAAAAGGTATGTACAATAATCTTGTGTACGTGTCATTGTACAATAATCTTGTGTACGTGTCATTATTATCTGTTTTATCTCATACAAGGTACAATGATCTTGTTTATGTCATAACTATCTGTGTATCGAATTCAGTGGATTACAGCTGTCTGAAATGTTGGGAATGGATGGATTTACAAAGTTGTAGACAAGGCTGTATTAAGATCTTTAGAGGTCTGGAGAATTGAAATGGTTATGGTGCTCGCAGATAGCCTATATGTAACTTCAAATAAAAACACTTCTAAAACGTGAAATAAATAGTTTTGTCAAGTCTGCAAATAATGCACTATTTTGTGGCCTGGTTATTTGCCATTCTTGTTAACTGTATATTGATGTGTTTCTGGGGTCATTATTGAAGGTACCTTCTTGATCTATATACACATTACAGCTTATGAATGGATTTGGTTGTCAAGAAATGGACATTTATTATTATTTATTATTTGATTGGTTGAGATATTTCTTATACTGTAGATACTTGATTTATTTACACCTTTGATTTATGGTTTAAAGGTTTCGGTCATTTACCTTAATGATTATTTTGTTACTAGGTTATACCTATGTTACCACGGTTACTATGTGAACAGTTGTGTAGTTTAAATCCTGATGAAGACCGTCTGGCATTCTCCGTCTGCTGGAAGATGAATGATAAAGGGGAGGTAACTACAGTTTAAAATGTTAAGAAGAATTTCAAAGTTTTACCCTTTTTTTTTCATAAGCAGTATTTTATTTCAATCATATTTTAAATGAAATAAATTAGTGTTTATGACTGAAAACATAGATTTAACTTTAGAACACAGTAAATAGAGTTTATGAATGAAAACATAGATTTTACTTGGGAAATAAATTAGTGTTTATGACTGAAAACATAGATTTAACTTTAAAACACAGTAAATAGAGTTTATGAATGAAAACATAGATTTTACTTTAGAACACAATAAATAGAGTAAGATCAAAGTAATTTCTTGTAAATATCCAAATTTAATGTTAAAAATCTCAAATTTAAACACGAGATAAGTACAAATTATACATTTTTGTAAATATTAAAAAATTGGGGACAAAAAATATTTTGATATGTAACCAAAATTCCTTGACATCAAATTCTTGATTATATTGTGACAATGCTATGTCATATCCTTTCATTGGTTGTATGTTATATTTTTGTTCAGATATTTGAAGTATGGTTTGGTAGAAGTGTTATTAGATCCTGTGTTAAACTCAGCTATAATCACGCTCAGGTAATAATATTTTACAGTTTTGCTCCGAACTGGGCTAATGAAGACGGGCATACACCATACAGTGTGCTATGAGGGAAATTTTGCCAGGGCAGCGGCACTACGGCCTACTCTTATATCGAATTCCAACTGTCAAGGGATCTTTTACGTACATGCCAATGTGTACACGGGACCTCGGTTTTTCGTCTCATCCGAATGACTAGACAGCTGTCCTTGTCAGGCCCTCCGTCCTGCATCATTGACAAGGGGGAACCACGCCAGAAAATCTGGATGAACTTTCTCGGCCAATGCAGGGATCGTACACCCGACCTCCAGGCTAGCGTGCCAACGTCTTACCCTCTTAGCCACCATGACCGCCCCCCCCCCCCCCACTATCTACTGTGGATGAAGCAGTGAAGAAAAATTACATCTTGTCTGTAAAACACAAATGGTATCTTTAGGAATGGAAAATAAAGCAGCAATCAAATAACTTCCAATATTAGTTAGAAGAGATGTCGTGTGTTCTTTTCTTTCCTCCAATAATTTCCTCATCAGATGATTCTGTTTAAAGATACATTCCCAGAAAACTAATTCTTTCTCATGCAAGTAACGTGACAAACAAGCTCGCTTCAAATAGATTCTTGGGGCATCTCTTGAAATCAAATTGTTTTGAGAGAGATTTCATACAAACTTTTGATAGACAATTGAGTTTAAATATGGTTTTAGTCCAATTATATCATCAAATCACCCAGTTTGTACACAGGAAAGTATCTTTAACAACATGTGTATCAAATAGAAATAACTGGCTATTTATGCTGTTAATATTTGTCACATGTTTTTCTTATTTTTTTATAATTCAGGGATTTATTGACAGTCCAGATAAAGCATGGACTGCTGAAGAGTTACCTCCCATATCAGAAGGTTTCACTGTAGAAGATATTAAATCTAGAACATTATTATTACATAAGGTGAGAAATGAAATGATGTTATATTTTCCAGCAATGACCTGAGCTAATCGGACTTACAGGGAAGCTTTATCCGAACAGCAGTGTTTGAGCACAACCTTCGTCTTGAACATCCCCACTAACATGTAAACGAACGGGACCTGGGTTTTGCATTCCATCTGAAGGACTATACACAGTTCCTTGTCAGGTCTCCTGTCCTGCACCCAGTCTGTAAATACAAGCTGTAAAGACCTCATGCAAAATACAGAGGACAAAGCATTGGTGGGCGTATGTTACCATGAATGACAAGCAAGTCTGAAATAAGACATCTGTCACAGACTTTGTTAAATATAAAATTTCACACCACGTATATATAATAAAAAAAATATTGTGTGATGATTTCTATCTGTGACCAGGCATGGTTTCAAGATTTCGTTGTTAGAACAACCTGGTTGTTATTATATATCTACAGATAGCTAGTGGATTACGTCAAGCGAGGTTTGATAAAGGTGCTCTACGTTTAGATCAAGTTAAACTACAATTTACATTAGATAAAGATACTGGTTTACCTAACGGCTATACTGTATATCAACAACGAGAAAGTAACAGGTGAGTTATAAAATCAATAGTGTAATGGTTTGTTAAGGTGTTATAATTAATATTTATTACTGAGCTACTTATATTCAGTTCTAAAATATACTTCATTTCTTTAAGAGGGAGCGAATAACATTCACTCGACAAAAATATAGTTTAATTTTATTTCAATAATTTGCTAGTGCGTCGGAGTTTTTACCATTGGAAGGAAAACCAGAGGAACCTGAGAAAACTCAAGAGGTTGGACAAGCGATCCTACTTCTTATCACGTGCAAGCTAGGAATCGAAACCATGCCACTTGATTCAGTGACAGACCTTATGATCTGATGTGCATGCGTTAACCATTCAGCCACCCAACTCCCTGATAAAAGCTAGAGAAACCTAGTTAAAAAGTCGTTCAGTCACACAATAAACAGCAACTATATATTCCATACGAATGGTTAGCACGTATCATAAGGTCTGTCATTGAGTCAACTGGCATGGTTTCAATTCCCCGGTTGTATGTGACAAGGAGTAGGGTCGCCTGTCCAACCTCGTGGGTTTTCTCCATTTTCTTCCTACAGCTAAAGACCCCAGCACGCAAGCAAATTATTGAAATAAAATTGAAAGATGTGTTAGTCCCGAAATGAGTGGATGAACTGCCATTAAAACGAGTTGTAATTGATAGTTGGACCTCGATCATCTTGTGGTTAAGATACACAGTAGAATCTGAGTAACAGGTAGTCATGAGGTTAGGACTCTGGTCTAAGATGGGTGGTGGAGTGGCTGAATGATCTAACATGCTTCAGATAATAAGGTCTGTCATTGAGTCAAGGGAACCATGGTGAGTCAGTCAGTAAGATGCTGGCTCGCTAGCCGGGAGGTCCGGTGTTCGATTCCTGCATTGGCCGAGAAAGTTCATAATGATTTTCCTGTGTGGTTCCCCTTTGTCAGTGGTGCAGGACAGAGGGCCTGACGAGGAATAATGTATAGTTATTTGTATGGGTTAATAAACCCTAGGTCTTGTGTACACATTGACGTGCACGTAAAAGATCACCTGGCAGTTGGAATTTGAGTAGCCTATCACCGTTGTCCGGGAAAAATTTCCATAATTAGCCCAGCTGGACATTAAACTCCATTCCATTTCATTAAACTCCATTTGTTCCCACACTTGTCCATGACAAGGGGTCGTCTTCCTAGCATGGTGGGTGTTTTCTTAAATAAATTTATTGTGTGTTGTAGTTCTTGATTTATATATGGTTCTGTTTTAATGTTTTCTAGGTTAATAGAAGAGTTCATGTTGTTAGCCAATATGGCCGTAGCTCACAAGATAAACTCTGAATATCCTGATACAGCCATTTTACGTTGTCATCCTCCACCTCAGTCGAAGATGATTGATGACCTGGTAATTATATAGTTAAAATGTTCCCAAATAAAAATCAGCTGCTTCTTCATGTACACTTTGATTGAAATGAAATGGGGTTTAACGTCCTATTGTTCTGCTCCGACTGAGACGCGAGCTTTCATCCAATGAAAATCTAGTAAATAGCGAATAACAGTAAATACACATGACCTTAAGGAGAATTTAATCGATCACTGTCGTTGTTTTGCTATAATATAATTAGGTCGATTTTTTTTAGCCAAACTCGTTGTAAATCATATTTCTAATGAAAAGAAAGTGCGCGCTATTAATACTGGTTAACATGTAATAAGTGCATAAATGTGAAAGATTTAGGTCAGCAATGACTCATTGGGTAAAGTGTCCAACTGACAGCTGCTTACCACTTGGCGATTATGTGCCATGTTTTCGGACCCTCCACCCCATCAGACGGACAGTTTTCCCCGATGCCAGACAAGCTTTACCCCTCTTACCCCCGTGAAGCCGCTGTCGGTAATACCTGACGGGCTTGTCCTCTCTCAACAAATTCTTAGCTGTTTGTAGCCTGTGTAAATGTGATGAATCAATTTATTATTCTTAAGAAACTACACGACACTGTGGAATTAATTTTTGCATGCATTGTGTTTAACGTCCCACCACAGCTCCGAGTATTAAGATAATTTGAGAAGGGTTGGAAATGTTGTTTGATAGCAATGATATAGGCCTATATATAATCAAATATAAATATAGATAATTGCCAAATATCAAAATCAATCAAGGTGTGTGAAGCTATATTTTATTAGAGGCTCTCTTCCTACTGTAGTCTTTGCGTGTGTAGACATACATACTTTGCATTGTCGAGTTCACCCTAATATCAACTGGTTAGAATAGATCCCCTAAGCCCACCCTTCCTCATCTCTAATAAAGATGACACTGTAGCATCATATAATATAACTATGCATAAATCAAATCCAAGGCCAAGCACCCCACCCCCCCACACTGCTTAATCCCCCACCCTCCATATAAGGTTGGAAATACCTTTAATATCAATATACCCACAAAACGGAAATTCATAAAGCCCGACCACATCCATACCAAAGGCACCCCTAATAAGGTTTGGCAATGTAATAACAATTAACTGATGTTTTGTGGACAGTTATTTGTGTTTGCTAAATTATGACTCTTTGAAATTAATGCGTAGGTATGATACAGGTTGTGTTCTAATAACTGGCTAAAATGTCCCTTGTTTGTCCATTCTCCTATTTTAAAAAATATATATAGACTACTTGGTCTTGCTCAAAGGAGCGGTCTATGGGAGTTTTAAAAATAAATTATTTTTTTTAACTTTATTTATTAAAGATAATTGGATTATAGAGCAGGCAACCCCACTCTCCAAACAGATATAAATATTACAATCAAAACATAATGAAATTACAATAATAAATCAAATACATAAATATACACATATATATATTACATACACTCACACACACATGTACACACTACACATACACTAATTCATTGATAATTAACATCAAACAACTGAGAAAAAATGTACCATAATAGACTAAAATAAATATGTATGCTGCACATATCTAATATATAGAAATAGTTAAGATTTTTAATACATGTAGTTCAAAAATTAAATATTACTGTAATGACTTTAATTGACAAAAGTTCTGATTTTAATGAAAATGAATATGGAAAAAACAGTATGTACAAGCTCTGTTGATAAGATATGAATTTATAGGCTTGAATCAGCATACAATAAGTATGTAAAAACACGTCCCTTGCCTGGTCGTTTGTCCTGCACCACTGACTAGCAGGACCCACATCGGAAAATCCCAATGAACTTTCTCGACCAACACAGGGATCAAACATGTGACCTCCAGGTGAGCAAGCAAAAGTCTTACTCGGTGAGCCACCATGTCCCGTCCCCCCCCCCCTTGATTGGGCTAACTTACAGTTATCTCCCCTATAAATTATTCTCTTATAAAACAATACACTGTTTTTTTTCTGTAGCAAAAGACGTGTGAAGAACTAGGAATGGATATGAAAGTATCTTCATCACAAGCAATTCATGTGAGTACACAGTTATTATTATTATACCTTATACACAGTATTTATTATAATACCCTATACACAGTATTTATTATAATACCTTATACACAATATTTATTATTATACCTTATACACAGTATTTATTATACCTTATACACAGTATTATTTTACCTTATACACAGTATTTATTATAATACCTTATACACAGTATTTATTATACCTTATATACAGTATTTATTATAATACCTTATATACACAGTATTTATTATATTACCTTATATATACACAGTATTTATTATGATACCTTATACACAGTATTTATTATGATACCTTATACACAGTATTTATTATGATACCTTATACACAGTATTTATTATACCTTATACACAGTATTTATTATGATACCTTATACACAGTATTTATTATACCTCATGCACAGTATTTATTATGATACCTTATACACGGTATGTATTATACTCACACATTTTTGGAAAATGGTTTAATTTTTCAAGCTTAATCCATTCTATAATATTCTCCAAGCGATTATCTTAACATGTAATTAGGAAAACAAAACATCAACAATTATTAATCTGAAGGCTTGGCTTTAGTTGGATTAAAAATAGGCCTGTCTGAAGATTTTAGCCAACACCTATATAGTTGCCATGAATTTGAACCATTTTTGGACTGATATTCTTTTAAGAAAATCAAGCATTTACATTGTTTTAGTTTCCAAAAGATTCAAAGTTTTTCTAATGATATGTAGTGACTTTAAAGACCTGTACTGTTATTGATGAATATTTTAATGTGTTAAAATGAAATATATTTTCAGGAATCGATATTGAAATATGTTGGTGATGATGAATTTAGTGTGGCCAGAAAACAGGTGTTGGTAGCTTTATGTTCCAAACCAATGCAGGTGAAAACATATTTATTACTCTGTATCGGATAATCAATGTTTTACAACAAAGAGTAAGGGCCATCTGTCGAAACTTGTGGGGTTTTTCAGGTACCTCTGGTTTCCTCCCACTGCTAAAGTCCCTTAGACAAAATTATTTAAATAAAACTGTTTCTCTCTCTCTCTCTCTCTCTTGCTCTGTGACACATGAGCTCTCTTGACTGCCCCATTTTATAGCTAGTCCCCATACAAGGAATTCATTAAAGTGCACGATCTATCATGATTTTGATCCAGGCCTGTACATTCTCAAGATTGTCTTGCTCTGTTTCGATCTTGTTGGTGGGGCCTGGGAAACTTTCTTATTTTTTGTTTGCAATGACAAAGCGAGGTCCCCACCATGTACTCATTAACAAGAACATAAGAAAAAACCTGACTGGTGAAATTCAATGACGATTAGGAGGAAATGCTGCTATCTGGTCAAAATTCACCTCGATGTACACCGCTTAGTGTATGCCCATCTTCATTATCTCGATGGGTGAGACGTTAAACTCTATTTGATATGATTTAATTTCTATGTTTATTTATAGAATGCGAAGTATTTTTGTACTGGTATGTATGATGATGAAGAGAATTATCGTCACTACGCCTTAAATGTTCCGTTATATACACATTTTACTTCTCCTATCAGACGATATCCTGATGTGATGGTCCACAGATTACTGGCAGCAGCACTAGGTAGGTTATCATTACACATCCTGGTCGACAAGATTCGTCAAACCAAGTATAATAAACAGTTGATGTAGGTCGACTGCAGACAGTTTAAAGAAGAATAATTTAATTTTCAGTTCTACAGTGTCTTGATAAATGAATCATGGCCAAAGCCCCAAACCATTCACATGGCCATGCTGGTTAATTTGATAAATAATTTGATTTTATTTATATAATAGATTATCGAATTGTTTTTATAGGTTATTGTGAGCCACCTTTAGATAGTAAAGAAGATCGCCATAAAGAAGCTAATCATTGTAATGATAAGAAAATGAATGCCAAACGATGTTCAGAGAGTAGTACTGATATATTCTTCGCTGTTTTTGTGAAGGTAACTGGATCAATATCCAGGAGGTTGAGGGTTTGATTCTGGAGTGTCTAGTCATATGGATGGGACAAAATATCATTGGCACCATGTTAAGGATCCCCTGACAGTTGGAAATAGAAACAATGACAGTCAGTAGCACCATTGTCCAAGCATGTGAAGTGAAATTGAGTATAATGTCCTACTGTTTTGCTACAACTGGGCAGATGAAGTTGGGCAACGTCATACCGTATGCTATGAGGGAAATTTTGTTTGGACAGCGACACTACAGCCCTCCCTTATATCAAATCCCAACTGCCAAGGGATCTTTTACGTGCACACCAATGTGTATGCGGCGAATGGTTACCCTTGCACTCTGAATTAGAAGATTTGTCATTGAGTCAAGTAGCATGGTTTTGATTCCCTGCCTTTATGTGATAAGGAGTAAGGTTGCCTGTCTATCCTCATGAGTTTTCTCTGGGTACTCTGATTTTCTCTCACAGATCCTATTTTGTTTCGTTTTTTATAGTTCAAATTTTGTTTTACTTGTCTTTACTACACTAGGATCTGGAAGAGCTGTCCTGGTTGATGTTAGGGATTAGCCAGTAAAACGGTCTGTTGCAGCGAGTTCTTGGCGTGCTGTGCACAGAACTGTGGGTATCCCATTAGAAACATCAACGCTGATTGTTTAATCAAATATCTGGCGTCATAGTGTCAAAAGCCCATTGTATGACCCCTGTCACGACCTCCCATTACAACCGGTATGATCTTTATGCAGGGGAGGCCATCGAAAGTATAAAAAACTGAAACAAAGTATAGATCTGTACTTTAATCAGATTGGTTTCCTCCCACTGCTACGCGCAAGCAAATTATTGAAATAAAATTGAACCATGTTAGTCCCAAAATGACCTAGTTTGTGACGAGTGGTCGTTAAATCCCATTTCTCTCTATATCTCTATATCTAGTTAGAAATTTGCCAAGAATCGGATGAAAAGTTAAATAAACAAAGAAAAATAAAAGAACTACATTGGGATTGTTTGTTCATACAAATAATTTATTTACGATAAATCAAATTATATATACTTGCAGGAAGCTGGTCCGTTTGAGGAGAGAGGTATGGTAATGGCTGTGTTGGATCGGTCATTTGATGTTTATATTTTAAAACTTGGAGTCATTAAACGGGTTTACTGTGATGTAAGTATTATATAGCATAGTTTACTGTGATGTAAGTATAATATACCATAGTTTACTGTGATGTAAGTTTAATATACCATAGTTTTCTGTGATGTAAAACAACCTCAGGTGTATTAGCCTAAATTGTTCCTGTCTACCCGATCATGCCAGATTATCGGTTCACGATAGCCAAAGCCTTTATGACCTAGTTGTGTGGAATGGACATTAAACCCTCTCTCTCTCTTCTACAATATTTCCAGCCGTGTTGTTTGTTGATATAATATATAATAACCAACTTCTACAATATTTCCAGCCGTGTTGTTTGTTGATATAATATATAATAACCAACTTCTACAATATTTCCAATCGTGTTGTTTGTTGATATAATATATAATAACCAACTTCTACAATATTTCCAGCCGTGTTATTTGTTGATATAATATATAATAACCAACTTCTACAATATTGTAGTTGCCAACCGTGTCGTTTGTTGATAACCAACTTTTACAATATTGTAGTTTGCTACAGACTTTAATAGTAGTTTTATTTTGTCCACAGAAATTAGAAATCAAGGATAAAATCTTTGATAAAGGAGGCAAAGTTCCTAAATTAACGTTATTATGGCCAGTTACGGACGATTGTCCACAAATTATACGACAAGAAATAACTATTTTCTCATTGGTTGATTGTTTACTCAAATCTGATATGGAGCCACTGAAATGGACTGTAAGTCTTAAAATGTTTATTAACTTTTTATCTTATTAAACAATATTTTTTTTCAAGAAATTATCTGAATACTAAATGAAATCCCCACTTATATTCGCATTAAACGAAATTAAATCAAATATTTAAATCTCAATACAAACCATTGTCAAGCGGCGGACTGGGCCTTGGACTGTCGGACATCGTCCTCATGCCAAGAGGGTTCAAACCCAACTTCAGGGGACTATTGAAAAATAAAACATTGGCAAATACTTTTCAAAAGAAATAAAATTGATCTTCACATCCACCTAAGAAATATAACAGTGTAAATATGGGGAGATAAAATGATCTATGAGTGAAAAAGGTGAAATAAGGTAGTTTCAATTTCTCGTCATGTGACATATTCTTCACCCTCAGGTTTGGGGATTGTGGGCAATGAAACCATTTAGTCTGAGGGCCTACAGTTACCCAGTCCGACCCTGCAAATATCTCTTTGATAAGACGTACAAGAACCAATTTGTCATTCATTACATGCCCGTATGTAATTTTGTATTTAATTGTGTTTTTTTTTCAGGCTTACATCAAAAGACCAAAGGAAAATACGCCTTGTTGAATATACCAGTTTCATCTACACCTCAAAACACACTGTGATCCCTTTCATCCTTTCTGTAAAAACAAACCAGTTAGTCTCAAAACCTGCTATATTAATAGCCCCGTGTGGCTGTAACTGGGCTATTTTCCCTCTGAGTGGAAAGTGATGGTTCTCTCGAGTTCTTTAACTGTGATATCTAAAACTTGGGTATATTTTAAATAACAACTATATGATTACTGTGTGAAAATAATGGAAGATTTTTATGAGTATTTTTGGATTAACGTGTGCGCATTAAATCAGAAGCTCTGTCATTGAGTGAAGTGGCGTGACAAGAAGTAGGGTCGCCTGTCCAACCTTGTGGGTTTTCTCCGGGGTCTCTACTTTCCTCCTACTGCTTAAGACCCCTATGTGTAAGTGAATTATTGAAATAAAATTGTACCATATGTTAGTCCCAAAATGACCAAGTTTGTGTCGAGTGGACATTAACCCCCCATCTCTCTCTCTCTCTCTCTCTCTGCTGTAATGTTTTTTTTTGAAATGAAAAATGTTTTCTGTGTCATTAATATGATTTATATGAAAATTGTTGTAAATATTATATTGTAAAAATGGATTTGAAATCTATTTTTTAAAAACATGTATTTTTTATTAAAAAAATAAAAAAGCTAAAAGAAAAAAAAGCAAAAAAGACTTAACAAAAAAAATATAAAATGTATAAAAATATGAAAGAAATTTGAGTTTCTTTTGTAAAAAAAAAAAAGCAAAAAATATGAAATTTAAAAAAAAAGAAGCAAAAACTGAAAGAAATTAAAAGGTTTCTTTTTAAAAAACAAATGTGTTGTGTTTTTATTTTTTAAAACCCCTTACATGTATACCCAGATTTGTACAGATCTGTGTCTATATTTAAACATAAAACCCCCTTATACCCAGAGTATATATTTTATATTAAAAATTATTTCCACACTTTTATAAAGATTTGACCTTTTGTGACGTTTGCTTTGAAACAGTTTAATTTCCATTGTGTAGCATGCGTAGTTTCCATACACTTTTAAAATAGTGTAGCAGTAAGCCCTTCAATAAATGCAGTTGTCTCCCTTAGGGTGCTTTCAACACGATTCTCCACAATTCAACGTTCCGAAATTGAATTCTTTCAAAGATGTCAATCGAGTAAACAAAAGAATTTAGGGCGTTAAGGCACGTGCTAAGTGAATATGATACCATTTCGCCCAATCAATATTGCTGAAACGTTTGATAATAGCACGAGTCCGCTCACTCCTTTTTTTAGTCGGGAATTATAACAGGACACAATTTTTGTCAAATCGAAAGGTTCTGTAATGGCAACCGAACACCTCACAACAATGTTTCATTTCAGAATCACTGCCACTGTGCACCCCCGGGGTCTTCGATCATTTTTGTTTTAGGGGTCTCGTATACCAGGAATTATATGTCGCTGACTATTTGGGAACTCAGTGGACATGGAAAGGCGTATTGTCCTTTGCATGTACAGAAAACCGAGGTCCGGTGTAAAAAATGACGTGCACGTAAAAGAACCCGGATGTCTGATATTATTTATAAAAACAAAAGATAATGTAAATAAAATGTCACTTACAGTTAAGGTCTTTTGTCGATAATTACAATTTATCACCCAATAATAATTCTACAGTAGATGTCGCGTGTGTGATATATTTCATAATCCTTAGGAGATATCGCTTTACATGAATTTGATTGGTCAGTTTAAAATGAACTACTTTTTTTTTATTTTCAAAGAACAGTTCATTTCTTATTAAGGTTTCGAATCCCCGGTTGTACGTGACAAGGAGTAGGGTCGCCTGTCCAACCTCGTGGGTTTTCTCCGGTTTCCTCCCACTGCTAAAGACCCCTAGACGCGCAAGCGAATTATGTAAATAAAATTAAACCATATGTTAGTCCAGAAATGACTAGTTTGTGTCGAGTGGACGTTAAATCCCATTTCTCTCTCTCTATTTCTTATTAAAAGTAACTTTTTTTTATATTAAAAATGAACTATTGTTATTCAATTGACCTTGAAGGAACACTGGGTCAATATAAAGGAGTTTGCAATGGTTGATTTGCGGTCAAAAAATGATGTATCACCACGCCGTAATGTTCAGCAAAAGTGAAATCTACAGCAAAGAATTATATTTATCTATTTATGCACGTAAGAAGGGATTGGGTGATAAATAAAATCTCCTACCAGTCTTTTTTGTTATCAAAAAATATCAACACTCGTTGATAAAGTAAAAAAAAACAACTCGTTTTTTGTTAAACAAACTTTATTTTTTGGGCAATGCTTTACGTCACTGGGCAAATTAAACCAATTAGCTAATTAATAAGAGATAGCAGGGGACATAAAGGTCCAGGGGCAGTTCACAAAAGTTCGTAACTTTAAGAAAAAAAACTACGTTAAGAAAAACTTACGAAAAACATACGAATTATTTACGCCGGTTTCACAAAGGCCGGCGTAAGTTTTTTCTTAACTTTTTCTCGTATCTTTTTTCGTAAATACGTCACGAATGGTCGTGACGTCATGTTGCGTCACTTCATTCACACTTCTGTAAACATTCCCACGGACTGAATGTTGACAATGTCGGCATTATAGCCGTTATGTTTGATTTGATCCTTACCTTTTGAAACATAAACGACGAAATGATATATTCCTTATATACGCTAAGATTTAGCGGTGTATTTATGAATAAAATGCTATTTTCATGCCTGTTGTTTACTTGTTTTTGTTTGCTACGTCATAGCGCGTGACATAATATAGTACCATACTTTATTATTATTATTATTATTATTACAGCATATTTATAGTGCACCCTTTCATATATCATGTTCAGGAGCACTTTACAAAGTGACAATGTAAATCATACATAAACAACAAGATTATGGACATGTTAACGATTGTATACAGAGTCAGTTAAAAGCCTGATTAAATAAATGTGTTTTAAGTTGTTTTTTAAAAGAATATAGAGATTAACAACATCTTAAACTAAATGGTAGATTATTCCATAAAACAGGTGCTTGATAACTAAAAGAGCGCTGACCATAAGAGACTAGTTGAACAGTTTTGGGCTTTAAAAGTTCTGAGAGGTAAACAGGAGCTAAATTATTTAAACATTTACAAGTAAGTAATACAATCTTAAAATCAATTCGATATTTAACAGGTAACCAGTGTAAATTATATAAAACAGGAGTTATGTGGTCACATTTCTTAGTTAAAGTAACAAGTCTAGCCGCAGTATTCTGTACTTTTTGTAATTTATCTATAAGCTTTAAAGGTAAACCAATTAAAAGTGAATTAAAGTTATCTAATCGAGAAGTGACCAGAGAATTAACAATTGACTTAGTGGCCTCTACAGTTACACATTTACGTATTTTACCTATATTTCTGATATTAAAATAGCACGATTTACAAATATTATTTACTTGAGCTCCCATAAGCATAAAACTATCAAAGATTGCGCCAATATTACGAGCAGAATAAGATGAAAATATATCACAATTACCAATTACAACAGGGGGGTTATCATGTGCAGATTTACTTAATTGATGCCTTGAGCCTAATAACAAATATTCGGTTTTATCATCATTCAATTTTAGAAAGTTCTTTGACATCCATTTTCTAATTTCACTAATACAGTTCTCAAGTTGCAATTTTGATAAATTGAAAGAAGATGGACAATCAGGTGTAAATGAAATATATAATTGAGTATCATCGGCATACGTCGTCTGTAAGTCTGCCAAAAGCCGAAATGGAACCAAAAAGGAGAAAACAAAATTGGAACCCGGCAGCTTTCGGTGTTTTAATTGAGGGGGTTAAACAGAATTATGGGATTCTGAAAGGAAATTAAGCAGCAGTTTGACTAGGTCATCAAAAGACGGAGTATGGGAGACTATTTGTACAGTAAGTGTCGGTCTTTGCCGCGATAGGCTTACATACATGTAGTACAGGGCCTAGTAATAGCCTACTGCATTAATACTAATAGTAATACCATTAGCCATAGTCTTGTTTAATGAAAACTAGCGTACTGAGATTATTTTTCCTGAGCTCCTGTTTGTAATAAATTAAATACTATGTAAATGTTGTAGTATATGCTGGCTTACAACCGAAGGCCCACGAGGCCCTATACTTACTACGCTGCACTTCAGCCTGAGCCTGCAAAACCTAGGCCTATAGCCTATAGGCATACCGGTACTAATCCGACCCTGGCCATTAAAGGGAATTTTTATATCAATCGTGAAGTCTGAACACTAGTCTCAAATTGTGTAAATTTTACTTGCAGAGTGAACAGCGTTAAAACAAGACGATAATTCGTACGTTTACCTGAGTTTAGAATCAGCTGTTGCTTGAACATTAATGGAATGAAACCCTTTCCTGCAGACGAACAGCGGCTCATTTTCTCCCGATGGTGCTATGATGGCAACTTGTGTACCATCAATCGTTCCCACTACATTTGGGAAGCCAGCTATTTGGTGAAAACCTTCCTTTGTAGAATTGATATCTTCCATGGAATAGGGGAAATTTATTGATAATTTATCGTCAACACAGGTTGTTATTGCTCGTGAAACACGATAAATTACTCTAGACACTGATGGTACACTCACCCCATGTGCATCAGCAATGAGTTTTTGGAAGCTACCTGTGGCATAGTATCGTAATGCAATCAGGACTTGTACAGGTGATGACAAGGATTTCGATCGGTAAGTTGCGGTTTCGATATCATCATTAATACAGTAAATAACATGTAATATAGTGGTCCGATCAAGCCTGTACCGCGAAACTAACTCCTCATCTGTATGAGTGTCGAGAGGGTTTAATCTATCCTTGAATGTTCTCTCTCGCCGAAGTTGCCGATCCGCATAAAGTAACAAGGCGGCCATTTTGTCAAAGATACGAAAAAATTTCCAACTTACGACAAGGTAAGAGTTGCCGTAGACTTTACGATAAAAGTTACGAGTTTCGTAAGTTAAGAATTTTAGTGAAACGCGATTTTTACGTAAGTTTACGTTACGATAAACTTACGCAAATTTTTCATCGTAAGTTGCTTTGTGAAACTGCCCCCAGGACTACCCATGACGAATCTTGTCTGCGATATCACCCTAGGTGGATGTGGAATTTAAACCCCACTGACTGAATGATGGACTTGGCGAATCAGATACCTATTGAAATTCTTAACGTTTCCAGCAGTAGTAGCCCTGGCTAAAGCGAGTTGAGTGGGTTGAAGAACAGCGCAGTTCTGAGTTATTCTGAAGATATATGGGTAGTCCTATTTAGTTCGTGGACATGTCTTTTCTAAGACCCATTTTAAGTTCATTATTGCAAGAACGTGAAGTTTAAGTTTTGGAGCTGTAACAGTCATACTCAGACGACGAGTGGCCAAAACAAAGAATGTGTAGCAGGTTTTGTGTTACACATGCCAAAATTGGTAAGCATGTAGTTCCATATTCAACCAGGATGCTACAGTGACCCCCCTTGTCAGTGGCGTAGGACGGGGGGGGGGGCTAGTAAGGGACAACGTATACTTGTTGGAATGGTACGAAAAACCGAGGCCCCGCGTAGACATTGACATGCAGGTAAACGAACCATTGGCAGTTGGAATTCGAAAAAAAGAGTAGGCCATAGCGCCAATGCCCAGCAAAAAGTTCCCTCATAGACTTTATTAGCCTAGTCGGAGATGGAACGTTACCATGGAAACAAATGTTTTGTATATATTAAATCCGAGCAATTCCTAG